AAAGTATTATGAATCTTATCTTAAGGGTACCTGATATAAAGTTAGCCAAACGCACGAGGGATCGCCGAGGTTCTTTGTAAAGGGTTTGGTCACGCCGCCCGGAATTCTGCATCAGCGAAAAAGTGGAATCAACTCAATATCTGGTCTTCATCTAAGTAGGAAATGGCTAACATTACACGTCATTTCCAAAGGAAAAATTCTCTTGGTACTTCCGCCGATTCTACCTGAGACATTTACCATTTGTCTTACTCCGATGAAGCGAGGAAGTCACAAAGTTCTGTTACTCAGTGTTTGTCAGTCAGTTCAAAGGCTCGATTAATCCTTCCCAGAATACTATTCGGTAGCACTCTCGGAAATTTATTCACATTTTGGACAAGAGCACATACTCTATTTCCTTTGGACGTGACCGGTTTAATGCTCTGCAGATTTTCTACATGAACTGTGACAGTTTCTCTCCTTTAGTTCAAAATGGTTTGACCTAACTGTGTAAATTCATTGAGAGTAGGGCCCTGTCTGTTGCTGTATACAGCTTACTGGTTTGGCAAACCCCGGACCGTTCGCTTTGGGGCTTCTGTCTGTTGAAGGAATTTGATGAAGAAAAACTGTTGGTATTTGCATATTTCTGTCGAGCTTCGAACGGTAAGTTTTCTGACCAATTTGGTGACTTAATCGGTAATTTTGCGTATTGACTGCATAGTCCATGTTTTCATTTAGCGGTTGCAACCAAGTTAAACTTAATTTTTGTTATACGTAAACAGTGCGTTGTGTAATTTGTATACCTTGTATACCTTGTACTGATAAGTCTGATTTTACATCATTGAAGTGCTTTGTAACGACGATCCAAAATATTTCGATTACTTTTGGAGATGATTGGAAATTTGGACGCAGGATTTGAAACGAACAGACCAAATGTGTTAGCGTAGCGCGCGCCGACCAGTATTTTCAGGATCGAACATGAAAAGTAAACCGAAGCTTTGTTTGTGAAGTGCGTAATTCTTATCCTCTCGGATTAATCTTAGCCTACAGATGTTTAAATAAATAAGTGTTGCTTTCACAAATTTCCTCGTATGTTTTCCTCGGTCGCCATGCCCCGCGAACAGACGGTCGCGAATGCTATCAACGATTCAACATGTTTGAATATTTCAGTTAAACAACGAACATTTGATATTTTATATTAGCATTTGTTTAAATTGCCGATATTTGAAAAGTATGCTCTTAAGTACCTAGAGAAACAGTTTTAATACTGAAGCAATTTCGTTTCTGTAAAAGTCTGATGAGTCAGTGATGATTTTTTTTTTTTCAAAAATGCTCTTGTGGTCTTGTACCTAAACTTAATTGATCTTGGCGTCCGAAATGTCGGTGTGCAAATCGTGTACCCTTTCCTTATTCAGGAAATGATTCAAAAATAAACTGCTACCCGCTTTTTCCTGCATTGCCGTGATGACTTAGGCCTGCATTGTCTGTGTGAATTTTGCGGTTTTTTCTTAATTTTGCTCTGTAAATGGTTGCGAACATTTTTGAAGGGAAAAATGTTTGGGTAGCATCCGTTAATAAAATTAAGACTACAGCACTATTAGTCATGTAACCGTTTGTTTTGCATCGACACTATTGCCAGATTTGATTTATTGTGGAATTGATGCGATCAAAAGTTTACTTTTGCATCATGAAGCATAATTTTGAATTTTCGTGATGTGAAATTGCCAATTGGTCACGATTTAAGACATGACTTTTCGCGGGTAATTTCACGAAGACCAATTTGTTGTTTGTTTAGAGAATACGCACATTCCAATCAGTATTATTTCAAAAGTTATCACTTTGCCACTATATTACTTGTTATTTGGTGTTAGGTTTGTACAACCGGGAAAATACTTATCAAAGCGGTTTAAAATCTAAGCAGTTGCGACATTTGATATTTTAAAATCCTTGTTAATTTTTTTTCAAGATGCTATGAGGAGTCATTGAAGCGAGAATTGATGTTTAATATCGGATCTGTGCCGCAATTTGTCAACTCGAGAAGCTTTGCATGAAATAGTACTAAGAAATACACGATAAAAAAGCTTTTGTGAACACAAAGAGCAAAATCATGGTTTAAAGAGAACATAAATTTTTGAGAACTGATCGCAATCGATATGTTACGATTGTTATCTGTGTATGTCACTTACTCGCTGTCAAGAAACATTTGACCCCATCTTCTCCAGCTTTGTTGTGTTTGACCTCTGTTGTATTCTGAAAAGGAGTAAATGGTTCTTTGATCGAGAGTATTCTCACTGCATGGGTACCCAATATCTGTTTACATCGAATGATTTTTGTAAGATTTACAGCGGTGTCAGCCTCGTTAAAGTATATGCTACATTTCATTTGTAGTTGACTATGTCACAGAAGTGTCTGGAAAAACTCACAAACATTTTTTTTAGGGCTTTAGTGATTATCAGTCATATCTGGAGAGCCAAACTCAGGTATTAGGAATTTTGATTCCCTAGAGGGAATTGTAAACATTAAGAATTCAACTTGATATCATTTTCAAAGCCCCTGAAGATTGTGTTACAACAAAAAAATAAGGATCAGTTTATAGAATCTATGATTCTGATGGCCTAGTTTCCTTCTTATGATCAATTATCCCATCCTGATTTGATATTCTTTAGAGGATGTTCTCTTCAGGTAACATTTGTTCAAGTTTTTCCTCTGGGAATTTGCACACAATGGCTGAAGTAATTGGACAGGAAGAAGGGGTTAATTTGGAGGACTGTGGCCAAGCCACGCAGATTTTTATCAACATTCAGTAGCGGTTGTGTGATTTTGTCATGTTCTATGTTACTGGCCACAAGTATTGTGTTCAGGATGGTGGTTGAATACCACTCTCATCTGTTTTGTAATTTTGGAAAGAAAGAAATAAGAGTATGGCTATCTATTGGTGTGCATTCTCTGCAGCTTGGCTCAAGGGTATAAGACCTTAAAAGTGGAAGGTGTAGGTTTTTAATCCTGGTAGATGAATATTAAATTTTTCCTTGTCTTGCACTTGTGGCCATTTCAAAGAACAATCTTCCTTGGAATATTGGTTTTTCAATTTAGGGTAATTATCAAGGGGTTTCAATTGGTTTGAGGTCAGAGAATTCTCCAACTTTTACACCTTCATGTGTAGTTCTTATATCACTGGTTTGTTTCACAAAATGTGCCATTTAGATGTACATCTGTTTCCTTCCTTCCGATTAAGTCATTCTACACTAGCTCAATCTTAAGGTAATTATTTCCTGTCTGCAACCTTTGTTGAGATTTTCATTTGTGAAAGTTTGAACAACTACAAGAGCAGGAAATTAACTTGCATTTTTAAATAGTGAATTGAAGACATTAAGATAACTCAAAATATTGTTCACTTGAAGTGTCAAGGTTGATTTCAATAGGGAAGGATCAAATTTTAATTCACGCAATTATTGGTTTTACTTTTTAGTTGGTTCAGTTACCAGCACTGTAATCCAATTTAATCTCTTACTTAAGAATTTTAGATTGTTCTGCTAATGTGACTGAATCCTCTTAAAGTTGCAAATGGCTTAGTTTGTGGTACAAAATACATATAATTGATTACGATTCTTGTGACATTTCCATGCAGTATGGTCTAAAATGTGGTTTTATTTCCTGAATGTACAAATTCTTGCTCAGATTTGCAATTTTAACCATCCTGTTTGAAAATGTGTTGATTATAGTTGACAAGCTGCATTTGTATAGTTCAGTACCTCCAACAAAGCAATTATCGCCTTCCAAACTATTAGCAAATTTGAGATGTCAGGGAATAGAAGCCAGACACGCTGGCTCAGAGCCATGTTCAAGGACATCCACTTCTTTTGCTTTACATTCCTCTTTTGAAATATCTTTTCATTCAGGCTACATGTAAATGCTGTCTTTATATATCATAGGATACTGATGGAAAAACTATTCATATACATGTGCACGTTCATGACTTTTGAAAATACTTGATACTTAATTGCTAGTAATAGCAAAATTACTGTAAACTTGGTTTGATCATAATGGTGAGGATTTAAAGCTTTATCAGATATTATTATCACTTTGTTGGGCAGTGCGGCCAGTGTGGCCAATTCCCCAGGCTAAAATGACTTTGAGTTGGACCCAAAAAATTTTTATAATACAATATGAAACTAACATTATTATATAAACTGTTGCAGTTTATTAGTTTCGGTCACTTTTGGGCCTAATACAAACACCTATAGAATTTTGCAGCCATGTTGTTAAGTGATAATTTTGTCTCAATAGTTTTCAGCTGATGTTTCTTAACTGTGGCGTTTTTCTGTTAAATGGTCTATTGGCAAAAAGTGGGCTGTTAGAATAATTAGCAAGTTTGCTGGTTTTTGACTTTTTAAATACTTCAACTGTGAGAATTAGGATTTCACTTTCCACATGCTGATATACATAGTCTCTCTTTTGTACACCAAATAAAGGTTGGCTTTTGTAAGGAATATTCATTACACAATATTTATCAGGATAGTTATCATTTTAAAGTAGCATGAAATTTAGCTCTCTTTATAATATCCTTTAGAAACAATATGTGGTGCATATTGCCTCAGCGTGTAATGGCAAGCAGTCTGAATTACAACATGCTCATATTGTTGCAAAGCTAATTTTTGCAGCTGTTTTTATGCAGAAATTTAAAGCTCAGATGTTCTAAACTTTTCCATTAAGCTGTATGCGTGGTTGTTTAATTGTACTAGGCTGGCAGTTTTTTTGAGTTATTAAGGTGTCATTTTTTTTCTGAGAAAGCTAACTAAGGGATTTTTGGGGGAAGACCAATTCTTGTTGAAATTTTTTTTTTGATTTGCATGCAGAGACAGGAAGTAATATTGTACTTGTACAAACAATTGAGAGTTGTTGTAACCATATAGGTTGGCTTCTGTGTGATTTTAACCCTACTGTATTCTGATTAAGAAGATAATGATTGTTTTCTGTGACATCTTTGGTTATGGTTCTAGATCACAAGCAATGGTTGACTCACAATGTCTGTTGAAGTTACAAGTTCTTTAAACCAGGCCTCTGCTGTTGGTAAGAACCCTGTGATATAACTTTGTCTCTGTCAGCTTTCACTATCTTTATGTATAATTATACTTTTGCATCAATCGTATCACTCTATTACTGATTCTTCCACTTGTAAATTGTGTAATTCACTTGTAGAATTCTCTAGATGTGCATTTGAATTGTCAGTTATGTCTACTTGATAGTTAAGACAAGACTTAAGGCTGATTTGGCAGCTTTGCACTAAACATTTCTTCTTCAGAATTGTATATCATCAGGTAAACCATCCAAAAGTAAACCATTAACAGTAACTGTGCTCTCTTACATAATCATATGATAATTATGTTTAACATCAAGTCACCAGAGAACAATTTGCAAAAAAAAAACTGTCCATTTAATGGTCATGTCATAAATGAATTGTTAAATTGTTAAGTTGATAATACCTGTATTTATTGTTTAAATCACCTCAAAATGTTTGTGAATGCAAGCATGGTCTCTCATACAGTGGCTGTATTAATCTTGTCTGAGCAATGTAGGGCTTAATCAGCTCTGTAACTTAGGTTTAATTGCTGCATGGGAACATAGTGTCTGAATGTGTATCTGATCTGGGATGAAGGCTAACTGGATTTGAAAAATAATGTAGCATAGAAATATGTAGCTCCCTTATTACTTTTTGTTGTCAGTAATATCAAGCTGTTTAGCCCTAAGTTGAATTCTCTCAAACTTTTGAGACAAATTTCTTAAGAGACCCACTATAAATGTTGCAACAATCTTGAACTTTGTACTGTTGTGAATACAATCAATCTTTCCTCCAAGTACTGATAAAGGGCATGAGTTCCAGAGAACAATCTGTCATGAGTAGCATCCATTGTTTTCAAGCCAGCTGAAGATTTAAAAAAGTTTTGAATTTAAAATGCTAAGCATCAGCCCTTTTGCATTTAGTGGCATACTTTTACTGGCAGATTGTCTATTCTCTCAGACCACAGATGCAGGTCACATTTAATGTACTGGAGATGCCAAATGCCAAATTCTATAGCTTGCCTTAAACTGATATTGGAATCCATTATACAGATTTTGAGTGCTTACATGCATTAATTCGCAGCTTACAGCAACTGACTGTTTAATGTACCTTGTTTTCAGTGTAGTTTAAATTGTGTCATCATACTTTGTTTTCATTTTCATTCTACTATATTCAAAGCAAGCTACATACACACATGGCATAAAAGGTCTTCCAATTCTACAACAACAGTCAAAAGGGTTAAGAATTTTTCATCAAGCAAGCCTATTTGCATGATATTTTTAGATTTAAGTTTATCCCTCATGAAATCGACTTCACCCCTTTATCTGTAGACATGCAGAATACTGACTATTTTGTTCTTGTAAAGCCTTTTGAAACCCCAACATTTTAACTGAGTTGATGATAATCAATAGATTAATTACATTTTTTGTCCACAGCAATGTCGCCAATCACAAACTACCCTCAGTCACCTGGTGGTGGAGGAACAGAGTCCTTTAGCTCTCGTTCTAAACGGGCAGCTTCTCCACAACGAGTCAGCAATGGATATGCCTCTCCCAAATCAAACTCGATCTTGTCACCAAGAAAGTCATCCAAGAGATTCTTCCGAAGACCCACCCTTGATAAGAACCAGTCTTCTGACTGTTTAACACAAGGCAATGAAAAGAAAAAACCATCAAATTCTCATCCGCGAGTTGAAATTATTTACAAAGATGCTTCATCAGAAAATGAATCTGATAAAGAGACAATGGTATCGTCTTTAAAGAAGGCATTTGAAGCAGATGGAACACCTTGTCTGAAAACACAATCTAGTAATTCTGAAGATGGATTACCAGCAGCTCTCTTAGAAGAATCTACCTCTCATTGTCTTGATGTGAATATGAATCGTATATCCACAGCCTCAGGATCTAGTCACACTGAAAGGGTTGTCCAGGAAATTGTTCTCACTGAGCAAGCTTATGTTTCACATTTACAAGAGATCATTGAGGTACATTTAATGGCCAACAATTTTGTAAATTGTGATATTGTTTTCAATCCATTTTACTCTTTCACTCCCAGAGGCTAAGTTTTTATTCTCTACTCTGTTCATGTTATACATTTCATTTGGATTAGGATCTGAAAATTTGGTGTACAATCAACCAGTATCCCATAGTTGAGATTTGCCTTTCATCTTGTCACCTTTCTGTTGGAAGATGGGTTCATTTATGGAGGAAAAATTCCTTTTTGGTCATTCCTGAGAGTATAAGAGTTAAAAGAAAGATATCAAGGAAGCACAGATTAGTTGCGATGGAAAGAGTGCATCCAATCGGTTACAAATTGCTGACACATTGACTTTTCCAACCTCCCCGTTACTTCATTTTTGACTCTTTTGTCCTTTTTGAGTTAAACTATTTGCCCCCCTCCCCCAAAACAATGTTTTGTCATGATTTTGCGAGCTTTTAGCTACAAACAGGCAATGTTGAATGGGGAAGAGGGTATTGTCATTGATTTAGAGCATGGTAAAAACAACAGTGTTATTCTAAACATTAAAAGAACTGTTCAAACACATTATGTCAACTAATTTTAACACTGATTGTCTCTCACATCCTTCTACTCTGCATTTGATTTCAAAAGCTGCAGTCTCAAAAATTAATGGCTGGGTTTGATAATGATTTTAGGGGATAATAATTAGTACCTCATGGGTTTATATTTTGTACTTTTAGATGAATACTAGGTTGGAACACTTTTCTACTAGACAAGTTTGATTTATTTTTAAATCTTTTCATTATATCACCATAGTCCTTCAGTGAAGGAAATTATAATTCAAACTAGTTTAAACTATTTTTACCTAAATTAATATTCAACTGCAGCATAATTTAATTATAACAATATTTGTCATTATAACAATATTATGATAAGGTTTCACATTTTTAAAAACTGAATAAGTAACCTTAAATTTCAAAATTGTAATTAACATTTAAAGATTTTGTTACTTCATCAATCTGTCTTCAGGGCTATATGAAGAAAATGAGAAATGAAAAATCTCCATTCTCAGAGCAAGATATCAAAGATTTATTTATGAACATTGAAGAAATATATGAATTTAACAAGTAAGTGCGTCACTAGATTGTTATACCAAAGTATGGATTCAAATAAATTGAATGCTGCTTTTTTAATCAGTTTTGAGCAGCTCTGTTGCAACTGCCTCTATACTTACGAGTGTAGAGTTTGACTAAAGCTACTTCATGATCATTTCCTTTATTCTTGTGACTGCAATGTGTGATGCAATGTGTGATGCAATGTGTGAGGAGAACTTAGATGCTAGTTAGTAGCTGCCCTGTAGGTGCTTGTCAAATGACTGATAAAATAAATGCAAGGAAGGACTTTTTGTAACATCATATACTCACTAAGGCATCCTTTCATTCTGAAGATCATTTCTAGATGAACTGGAAATCTGTGGAGATGATCCAGCAGAAGTAGCAAATCTATTTGTATCCAAGGTAAGCAACAGTCAATGTATTGATGATGATTGTTAATTAAAGAGAAGTCTATAAGAGTGTGAGATAATTTGGCTTTATCGACTGAGTTGATAATGTAAATTGGTGACTGCAGTCAATCAATCACTATTTACTCTGATGAAAAGCTGACATGCAAAATGTTTATGGTAGCCAATTTAAATTATCAACTCAATTGATAATGTTAACTAAATCATCTTGAAATGCCCTTCACAACAAAGCACCACAGTTTCTTTAGAAACATACCCATTTGATTCATTCATTAGATTACAAACTTTATATTTCTAGTGCATAATAGTTCATGGGGGCAAAGCTTGAATCAGGTATGACCCATAGGAATGGAGGGAAGATCATCAAATTATTTTAGTATATACAGTAGAACCCTGCTTACTTGAACTAAGTTAACTGAAACCCCTGGTAACTTGAACATGATCTGATTTCCTTTGACTCCATATTTTCAGTCATTCACTACTTACACCCCCAGTAACTCGAACCATTTTTGTTTCCTTTGGGGATTCAAGGTAGCAGGACTCTACTGCATATCTAATGGTCTTTCGAAACTTATCAAAAGAATAGGTGTTTGGGTTGCTCACAAGCTATCATGGAATAGTCAACTAGTAGCTTACCCAAACAGATTACTAATTCCTTTGACTCAGTTATTATCATTTCCTTTTGTAGGAAAAAGGCTTTGTAACATATACAGAATACTGTACAAATTATCCAATGTAAGTTATAAAGAATTATGATATAGTTATTAATTGTTGCTGGGTATAGGGAGAAATTTAAGGAGTGATGCACTTTTTACAGCTGCAAGTGTGCAGAATTAGACCAAGTCAGGAAGTATCAGTTCATGCATGGAGATGGTTTGCATGATTAATTAAATACACATAGAATATATATTTAATCATGGAACAACTCTCCTCTTGGTCAATTTTTTTTTAAAGGTCAAAATAAAGTTCCTGGATAAAGTAAGCTTTTTGTATTTTAGACCTTTCCTTCCAGTCTTGTACATTCTGATGTTCTATCTGCTTTTGAGAGGGGCAACTGTGTTTAAATTACCATTGGATCCTTATGTACACTGTGGTTTTTTAGAACTAACCTTCTTTTTCCTATCAAAAGTTTGTTTAACCCTGATGCATGATATATCTTACAACAGTTCTATGGAAGTACTAACAAAGTCTACACAGAAAAAAGAGACTGCTGAATTTATAAAGGTATGCACGTCCATATTACAAAATATGTTTGCTTTATGTTTACATAACAGAAACAGGTTGTTGGTATATGTTTGATGAATTTGGAATAGTAGTTTGATGTCTCTTTTGATTTCTGACTTTACAATATATGACCAAAATGTGGTGTAAGGATTTCTGGCTTGTGACAAGTTTATTTATAATAACCCTTTGACTCCCAAGATTTGTGTATTAATTTTCCCCTCTAGCTGCCATGCATTCCTTTGTAAATAAGTTACAAAAAATTAGACTAAGTGTTATATTGAGAATTAACTTCCACCAGATAAGTTTGAGTATTCTTGTTACCTGTTTGCTTGCTAATTTATGGCTATTTGGGGAGAAGTTAGATGGGAGTTAAAGGGTTACTTTTAGGCTTCTTTAGTATTTACTTGATGTGAATATTTTGTTCATCAGAAAATTCAGGTTGAATTGGGCCATTCTCTTCCTCTTGGGTCATACTTGTTAAAACCTGTACAAAGAATTCTAAAATATCACCTTTTGCTGCAGGTGAGTGCCAAAACCTAACCTAACTACTATCTTTTAATGCTTCATGTGAGCAAACCTTTACCACTTGGCCAGCTCAGGGGGTGGGGAAAATAACCTTCAACCATATGGTGAGGTGAGGTGGTCAAAACATTTCTGTTAAAAAGAAATTAAGAGAAAAAGTTTTTACAAAAAGATGAGACTAATTAACATTGAAAAATGTCTGGTAACCATGCCAGGTGTTGGGACATACTCTCATTTAAAGACACCTATCAACCAATCAGAGTATGTGTTGTATCTCAGTAATTATTTAATGTCATTTGTTCAGAGTAGCACTTAAATCACTCCTACTCCTAGTCCTTGTAATCTAAATTTGTGCACTTTCATTTCTTAGGATATTCAAAAGCATTTTGACAAAGAAAATGATCCTGAAGGTTATGATGTAATATCTGTAAGTATGGAAGTCACTTGGTGGTGACAGCTACTAAAATTATCAACACAACTGATTCACCCTCCCAAGAATTGATTAGTAATTCTTCTTCTTTGGAGCTACATATATCCTTATAATTGCATGTGAGAAATTGCTGCTATATCAATCGGATAACTGGACAAGTGCTATTCATGCTTTGAACAATTTCTCCCAGTATTGTGACTGGTCTTTCTGTGCATTTGATCCACAGGAGGCCCTATCTGCCATGACTGGAGTAGCTCACCACATTAATGAAATGAAAAGACAACATGAAGTAGCAGTTCATGTGCAGGTAGAGAGAGACTCTTCTATATTTCATATGATCTTATAAGCATGTATGATATTCTTGAATGATGGGCTTGCTCACTTTACAATGTAGTAAAATATTCATATAACTTAACGTTGAGAAAGTGCCCCCCTTGAATAAGCCTCCCTCCCTCCTCCCTTGCTTGTTAAACAGTAAGAGTACAAGGAAAACTTGTTTCTGTTGCCACTCTATAACTTTTAAAACAGCAGAATAATTGCCCCTCATTTTAGCCTAAAGTGAGAGCCTGCACAATTGCATGAGGAAATAGGTTTTTTCCTTTCATGTCATTTGATATTGTTTAGAAATTATAGTGGTGAGTTAAATGTGAAACAGTCCTGGTAGTTTAGGGGTTGAGGTAGATACAGATGCTATGTATACCCTTAACTATTTTTAAACTTTAAGTTCTTTCTTTGCTGTATGAGAGAAGAAGACAGCAGTATGCAGTTGAAACGTTGCAATCTACATCACACGTGACTGCATCGTGAGACAAACAAAAAACTTAGCTTTTATTGTTATTCCCCATGATGAATAACCACAACCTTTTCTACAGAATTTCTTTCAATTCTCTCATAGGTAGAAATTAAAAATTAGAAAAAAATCGTATGGCCAGTGTAGGTTTTCTTTTCTGTACTGTAGCATGTGCCTAGATATGCTAAAAACTACAACATGAAGTATGTTTATGGCTGTGGAGATGTTTGGTTCATCAGTTACTTTGGTTCAAGTTTTAATTGTAGTTAATTATAGTAATGACCAGCATTGACATTATGTTTTAGAATTTTTATTGCTTAAAGTAAATTTGGTAACTTTTTTTAATTACAGGAAATCCAAAGTCAGATGTGTGACTTTGAGGTAATTACAAAGACATATGTTGAATTTGCTGTAAGATACTATTTATTTTGCAAGTTAAATCTTGCGAATATAGCAATAAGACCTTTTCCATTCTCAAAATGATTTTAAATTTGGTGTCACTCAACAATTTTTATGGGAAATCTGTCTATGAGGTTATGTAGTATTCTTGTCTTGGTAAGAGTAAATTGAAATGCCCTCTGCATAATGTGTGAATACATCAGGAAAAAGAAAAACAATAATTATAAAGCCATCCATTTTTTGCCAGCTGATTACCAGATAGCTGATTTAACAACTAGATTTCAGTTTAGTTATGGATCACAGATGACGAGAAAATATGTTAAGTGGCAAGGAAACCTCAAGGAAGGGATTTGTCAATGTTCATAAAACCTTTTGACTTCTTTTGTGATTGACTGAATAGACACTCAGTGTAATGTCTGAAATGAAGAAAAGTAATAAAATTATTGAGTTGTGCTCAGAACTTTTGGAACTTATTAAGTTCTCCAGTAGGTATTTTTCTGTCGTTTAGGACCCTTTATACTTGTAAACAGCCCCTTGTTAATTGTTATGTACCTTGATGGAGAGAGAAAAGAAAACAAAATTTTCCAGTTGATATCAGCTGTGGGTTTGTAGTAATGTTCGGTTTATTTTAACATCATTAACTGTATTGTCAATTGTTTGTGACTGCAGAGAATACGTATCTAATCATTTTATTTTTCTTCTATTGTATTTTTACCACTGCAGGGTCCTGATCTTACCACTTATGGTAGTCTAGTTTTAGAGGTAATAACCATCTTTACTTGTTAAAATCTTGCAAATTTACGTTGTCTTTTTATTTTTTTTAAATGAGTTTGCACCCCTCTTTTACCAATTCTCATTCCCCTGATTAGCTGAAGTTGCGAGCTGAGAGTGCGTTAGAGGGTTATCTCTTTTCCCTGTTTTGCATATCAAGCACCTTGTTTTTGTTTTGTTTTATTTGATTTTCCTTTCTGTTTTTCAGTTTGTTTGTTTTTGTTAGGAAGCTATCTATAACTTATAGCCAGTGGCATTCAATGAATTAAAATTCTCAACATAGCACAACGTGATTTAAAACCTAACGCCAATTTTTTTTCGTCTCAGGACACCTTTCGAATGCATGGAACCAGAACAGATAGATATCTTTTTCTCTTCGAGCAAATCCTTCTCATCACAAAACGGAAAGAAAATGGCTACTCTTGTAAAGCTACACTTATGGTAAGAGATCGTATGTCGTTAAAACTGTAAGGTCCTGAGTATTACATCAAGATTCTTGTTGTCTCCTTTTTATCAATCAAGCATAAAAACAGTCTGACCCTGGTTGTTCGAAAGGTAGATAACGTTATCTTTTGGATAAATATCTATCCGGTGGATAGCGCAGTACGTTTTGTTAACACTTAGCCGCTGGATAGCGATTTATCCGTCGGATAGCAATTTATCCGTCAGAAAGCTATTTATCCGTCGGATGGCAATTTATCCGCTGGATAGCGATTTATATGTTGGATAGCAATTTATCCATCGGATGGCAATTTATTCGTTGTATAGTGTTTCTAAAAAAAAAATTATTTCTACTTTTCACCTGGGAATGAATGGGTTAATTATGGTGTGATGATTTAAACATGCTCAGTAACTCCTCAACTTACCTGCGTGTGTGTGTGTGTGTGCGTGTGTTTTTCCATTTCTTACCAGCTGTCGAACATGATGATGCTTGAATCAGTACCCAAGGAACCGTTAGCATTCCAGATAATACGATTTGATAACCAGAAAATAACCTACACGTTTTTGGTAAGTGAGAAAGTGTCAGCAGTCATACAGGATTGCGTTCCTCAATAGGGTTGAAAAACTTTTGCATTTGAGGAAGACTTGCTGTTATTGTAAGCCACCCAATTCTGTTTTTTCTCTCGCAATAGGCGAGGAACAAAGATCAGAAACGTCAGTGGATGTTAGAGTTGAAGAGACTGATCGTTGATAGTCTTTCTGCACAGGTTCCCACGAAGGTCAGTTTACTTTACTGTTAAATATTTTAAGATGAGAGCGATCATCGCAATAATGAGTACTACTTAGGAAGCAGTGAGAAAAAAATACAGGTGCAGTGTTCTACCAACTGAGCTAACGAGCCAACTGGGAGCTGGTCATTTGTTGTTTTATAAGAAACCCGTGCGGTGGTAAATGAACGACAGTGAATATATATGAATTACATATACTGTATTTGAACTGCGGGTTAACAAATGAAAAAGAGAGTGATTTTCGGTAATGAACACTACGTAGACAGTAGAGAAAATAAAGCCTTAAAAAAAATTCAAGTTGGTACGGAAGTTAAACCCAACATGGATCGTGGTCATGAGGTCAAACCTGGTATAAGCCTGAATTTTTCTCGGGCCTTATTTTCCACTACTGCTTAAAGATAAACAACTCCATATTAGGAAGCAAGTTCTGATGGGCTGGTCTCACGCTTTAACAAAGTTCAGCTCTCGGACAGACAATCGCTTTAAGGTTATAAACTTCTGGTAAAAACTAATGGTGGAGCTGTTTTTTTTTTGCCTCTAGGCTAAAAATCTCATTCTTGGAAAGAAAAGTGTTGGAGAAACAAAAGAACTAGGTAAGATGATGGCTTCCTGGCATAACACTCTCCCATGTGGAGGTTAGTGTAGTGCATTTCAGCGATCGGTTTCGGGGCTTATAGTTCGACTTGTGACAGAATGCGGGCAGGTCTTCATTACTCAAACTCGCATTCTTCTGCTCGCGGGAAGAGTTGAGACGAGTCGTAGAGAGGTTTGCTGGGAGTCTAACACTAATAATCACTGCCAGGCCCCTTTGCAAACCTCTCGTTGGCTCTTGTTGCAGAAATGCTAATAATGAAGGCTGGCTCGCAGGCTAAAGTCGTGATAAGTCGGCCGGAATGCAAGGTAAGCATTGTCGCGAACCAACGGTCGCCTCACTGTTTGGACTGTAAGTGCGCTCTGAATAATTTCGCCTGAATTTCTAAGTTTATGTCAATTTCTTCCTTTCTTAACTATTCTTAATTAAAATATAACATGTGCCACACAGGGGAATAGTGCTTTTCAAGCACGCTGATTGGGCCCTCGGAAATATTTAGAAAGTAACACATATTTTGTTTCCACGAAGGGCTTGTGCTCAAAACGTCAGTTTTAGTTTTCTTAACGGCCTTTTGGTCACCGCGGCAATCAGTTTTGTGTTGAAGATAAACTTGGAGTAAATCACTTTTTTCTCATGTGGCAAAAACTCCAGGTACTGAAGGGAAGAAAAGATCTTCATCCATGGACAACAAACTAAACAGAGGGACGCAACTTAAAGGTAACTTTTCTTCACTGTGTATTGTCAGGACCTTTTGGCCAACCGGATGCTTAGGTGACATTTTTCCTGCGCTTACTCACGGTCGAACGCATAATTCGGTTAGAATTTTTCCTGGGTCAAGTACTTTTTCTAAGGTTTACACTCGAAAATGTTTCATGTTTTGTTTGGCCGCTCAGGGCTTTAAATGTGCTTCCTCTGCTATGACATTCGCAAATGGTTAGCCATTTTAGTTTGATAACGACGATAAACCGTAGTCCACTTCTCCTGTAGCTTCTCTGTACTGGTTAGCAAGGGACGTTAAAGATTCCACGCACTCCTCGCAAAGAACAGGGAACGTAGCTCCCGATGTCATGGTCTGGCCTTGTTATTGTTTAGATAGCTATACGCTGAACTGTAACACCCTGTCTAAATATCGCAACTACATACATACATACATACATACATACATACATACATACAACTGTCCGAAGCGCGGGGACGTACCACTGATGGGCAGTTGGAACTGAAGCTCTCTCTGCAAAATTTCGAAATAACTGAAACTTCAATGATAACAGTGATACGACCGTCAAAATTATTAAATATTCTTTAATAACTTAAACATCCCATTTAGCTAACCTATAGATGTTGTGAATTTCAAGGTATAAAATTCTAATACTTTTAAAATCCGAGAGCCATGATAAAATTATTGACTGGTAAACTATGATGATAATTGCTTATAATTTTCTTTTTTTTATGAACTAAATAACCATCCGGAGTTTATAAACTTTCAAAATCGTGACGTAAATTAAGCAGTATTCAACGAACGATATTTCAAACATTATAATTGTTCAAACACTATCATTGTAGCTTATTTAATGAAAGCGAACAATTCACATCTTTGTGGTACAGTTACAGCTGTTTATGTAGACGTAGAACTCCAGTGATATCTTTTGCAGCCATTCACCAACCTAAGCAATAACTTCGCGCAAGACCGTAGGAGACTAGATCTAATATTTAAAGAAATTAGCCTATAAGATCGATCACCTTGAGCTGTGTGAAAAAGAATGTTACCGTCAAACTCTGGGTCGCTAACAGAGGAGTCAGCAATTCTTACTGATGCACTTTAAGGTTTAGGGTGAAACTAAATAACCATCATATTGACAGGGAAAGTTTGCTTAGGTTCAGAAGTTTACCAAACATCGACAGTTGTGGCTCCAGTAAAGGTACTAACATTTTATTAAATTTATTAAATTTAAAAAATCTAAATTTAAAATAAATAACGTAAAATTTAGCTTTATAAATTGATACTTTTAAACGATAAAAAAACGCTCTTGAATTTAACGATTATTATAAGTTACGAATCCTGGTTAAGTCGTGGTTAATCCTGGTTAAACGTGAAACAGTTACTAAGACAATTAATTGCAAACAGTTCCCATGCAGAAAGTGGCATTCATCTGAATTATCGCGTGTGAACTTGTGAAGGTCTGCAAGAGTGCATATCGTTTACACCTTTTTTCTAACTTTGGTTCTGTTTACTTCCTTTAAAAGGGTCTTCTGGATTTACAGGAATGAAGCGGGTATGTTTCTCGTTTAATTCTTATCTATAGATAACAACTATTCACCTTAGTGTCGGGGACTAGTGGTAGATATTCACTGAGCCGCGAAGCGGCAAGGTAAATTTATTGCTGTAAATTATTGATTTTCTTGACCAAGGCGGGAGTCCAATGTACGCAGGGAATATCCTGCCCTTGTTGCGCTGGTGTTTTACGTAGTATTTTTCTTTACAATGTTTGTGACAGAGAGTGAAAATTTTACGTGTTGGTAGACGAATTGAAAATATTGCTCTTTTTGTAGGAAAAAGTAAGCGTTAAATCAGATGACGAGAGCGAACCCAGATCTCCATCAGAAGCATATTCCTCGGACGATGACAAGGTAGAGAACTTATCCTTGAATTTTTGCTTTCCGCTCTGAACTCTCCCATCTTGAACCCTCCTTGTTTCTTCTTGAATAGATCTAAGTTGTCCCTTCAATGTTTATCTGCCTTGGGACTAATATTTTGTGGTGTCCTTCACGATGAAGGTGGTTCAGAACTTAGCAAAGTGTGATGACGTTGCTCCTATAAAACTGACCTTTCACGGCGTTCTTGGTGACCCTGTGACGAAAAAGCTTGTCGATTGTGGCTGAAATTTGGCAAAACTCCGCGTAAAATATTTGGTAACCGAGGTATCGCATTCAGTTTTAACTTTTGTTTGTATAACAAATTGATTATGTTTTTTCTTTCTTTTTGTTAAGAAACGTCTCCGTTCGCATTCGTCTGTCAGTGACAAGGAAGAAAGCTTAGACGAATGGGAAGAACCAGTGGAGGAAAAGCGACAGGAGTCTGATCACAGGATTTCAACTCCAATAAATGAAAGTAGTGAGGAAGAAGCAGAGGTGAGGATAACTTTGGAAAAAAAAAGCTTCCAGTCGCTATACTTGTAGGGTTTTAGACAATTTTCAGCAGCACGGCTTATTCGTGAGCAAATAAGCCTTCGGCCTCGTGCTTTCATCTGTTTCTCGGTATCTGGGTACCTCGATGAAACAATCGCACTCGTTTTTGATATGTTACATCTGAAATATTACTCTTCATTGCTAAACATCTCGCGGGTTTATACTAGAGGGATGATGTAATAATAATAATAATATAATAATAATAATAATAATAATTTATTTCTATAGCGCATTTTCCTGACGCACAAATGCGCTTTACAGTGTCAAATTATCATAACCTGTAATTAAATAAAAATTTAAAGTCTAAAAATATGCTTGTCCAAAAAAAAAAGGTCTTAAGCTTAGCTTTAAAAACAGATGCACTGCTTTTAATCTCAAATGGAATTGATTCATGTAAAATAATTGTGGCGTACAGCCTGGAGAGATTACCATTTTCGAATCCCCCATTTGTTCCATAGGCTCAGTATTCACACATTCATCATTTTCAAGTGGTGAGAGTTCGTTGAGTTTATAACAAATAATCATGACAGAATTATTCAAATATAGTTACAACGCAAACTGCTTATTATCAACTGTCTCTTTGTAGGAAAAGTTCCCTAATGGCGAGGAAACTGTAGCACAGCCAAGAACATACTCAGTTGAAGACTCTCAAGGGGAAGTGTTGGGAACGGCAACTACTGAAGGAATCGGCTTTGTATCTCAGATTAAGAACGATCAACAAAGTGAGGCAGAGGTTGCCAAAATATCGCGCGAAAGCGTTACCGCGTCAAGCGTCATAAGGCAACGCCCCAGTAGCTTCTCCAGCTCGGATTCTGTCAAAGAGTCACGCAACAGAAAAACTGTGACTAGAAATGGGTCCTTTAACAGTAACGCCTCCTGTGAAGTAGGTAGCTTTGCGCACCCGTCCTCTGATAGCCCAAGCCAAATAAGGCGGTCCTCAAACAGCGTCCGACTATTGGAAGCTCGGCGAAGCCTTGAAAAATCTTCGTCTGCTTTAGACTTACGTGACGTAGACGAAGACTCGGCGTCAGTGTTTAGCCATGGCGACATAGAGAATTTCAGGGAGTATTCAGCAATACAGACTACTGTGAGAAAAGTAAGCCGAGCGTTCAGTGGCTCTTCTCCATCCGACAAAACCTCTCCAAGCGAGAACCAGATGCGTACCGCGCAGACACACTACATCGTGGAATCTCGCAATACCCCGGATAAAGACTCTTCTCTCTCGAGCTCAGACTCCACTCAGCAAAACTTGGAAGAGCTACTTGCTTCCATTGACCGCGACTTGGATGAGACACGTCGCACAATTTCTTGCGCGCAACTGTTAGAATCTGCTCTTCTTATTAAGAATGACGGCAGATTAGAGACTACGTTCACGAACAGTCTTACGCGTAAAAGGCGTCCTCGGATTATCGACTTTACAACTGAAAAGGTTGAGTCCCAGGTAGATGAATCTAGGAGTTCTTTTTCTGACGAGCGAAATGGAAGGAGTGAACAATCCGAACACGAAAACCGTCTGCGTGGTGATGCATACAAGAACACTTCAGTTCATTCCGAACATGAAAGAGAATTTAACTCTTTAGAAGGAAAAAATGGTAAAGAAAAGCAAGAGTTGTTAGTTTCTAACGAGATTGAACAATCACAGGCTTCTGCTCTTTCTACTGATTCAGAACCACAGGGAGTCCAAGTAGACCAACCTTCTCGAGCAGAGGATCAAAACCAACCGCAAAAACGCGAACTATACGCTGATAGTAACAGCGAAAAGAGCAAGCCGTCAACAACAAACGAAGAGGACGTTTACGGGGAAACAGCCCCACGTGTCATTACGCCCATTAAATCTAGCTTGCCGAGTGTTCATAAGATGGCGAGACAGTATTCTCGAAAAGTCGCCGAGGAACAGACAGTGGAGAATATACGCATGCGTGCGCGAAATAAAGTGCGCGACAAGATAGAGTCGGACACAGCGGTCAGTAATAAGCAAGACAATACAGACCATACTCCTAAGATAAAAATTGAAAAAGTCACTAAGGTTTCATTCACTAGTACTCCGATCGAAAGTTACAAGCTCGTAAGGCGTCGACGAAGGCGTTCGGGATCTTCTCGACATCGCTCGGACGATTTGCGGCGCCTGAGTTGGTCGGTTGAGAAAGTAAAACCAGAATCGGAGGAACCACGCAAGACGAGACCCAAGAGTGTGTTCGATATGGAGGCCTTGGAGGCTACACTGACAGAAAATATGGAACAGATCGAGGAGGGTCTGGAACCAATGTTAATCGAGGGATTGGAAAAGGATGATGTGGTTGTTAGAGGACTGGTGCAGCACTTAGTTAATAAGTTTAACTCTCACAAATAGAAACGTTCTGATCAAAGAACCCCTTTGAGGTTGTTCGGTCCACGATTAAGTCTTTTGGTGTAAACTTTATTCGGTGATTTTGAGTCCATCTCCCAAATCATGGCCACGAACAAGAAGTTATTTTTTACGAAAATGTTCGAATGCTCTTGTTTTGTCAGTTCCATTGTTATTTGTTTTCTTGCTAATTTTGACGACAAGAGCGTGTGGGATTTGAGGAACACACTCAAGCAACAACAGTTAACATAACAACACGTTTGCGAAGAAGGAAATTTATCAGGTTTAATGTTATGAGTGGGATACCTGTTTATTGTTATTGCTAATTTTGACATTTTCCGAGAAAGTAATGACCTCTATTTGTCTCGTTAGTTAACTCTTTTTGTCATAAAGTAGGTTGTGTGCTCTGTCACGTTGTGAATATAATGTGCAACGCTGGCGTTGCAAGGACTGTATCGATAGCTTTAAAGTATCGTCATGTTTATATTTAATTTCGCTGCGCCAACCTAGTGCCCAGGTTCGACTCTCTCAAAAAGAAACACGCATTAGGATGAGGGCTCGGGAACAAGGCTGGATTGAAAGTATAGTGCAGAAGTTTATACCAGTGTGATCAGCGGATGTATATGTTATTGGAAGTTTACCTCACACGTAACTAGTTTGTATCATTAAACATTCCATACTTTCGACTTTTTTATACCGTTAATATGGCCGACGTGACTTCATGTCAACCTTAAAACAACCTAATGGTTAATTATATTTTACTGTCACTTGCATTTGCCCGTGAAAAAAAATCTTGACGAGTACATTTTGTGAGTTGATATCGAACTAAATTTGTACTTACTTTGACAGACTTACGCCTGATCGTACTTGAAAACTAAGTCTTTAGTATTGTTTTTTTCCTTGAGTTGTCATCATTCCTTACAGAAAATGAAACAGAGCGTGATGTGATGTCTCCAGTGGGAACACTCCAAACTTTCCTCCCTTACAGTTAAAATTGCCCTCAAGATGCTTTCAGCGCAGAAAATGATGACTGAACTGCCAAAACTAATTTAGAGAGTGATCGTTCTTCAAAACGTGTTTTTCTTACTAGTTCATGGGTAGATGCAAGTGACATAAAAACGCGAAGCCATACGAAAACATGCAAAATCGCACCTTGTAGCTGAACCGTAACTGCTGTTCATTTACTTGTATGAGCAAGAAGATTCTGCATTTTTGCTATTTGTCCAGATCTTTCTTTTTCCTATTGATACTCAAACAAATATAGATTTCTTTTCTGCCATTTGTTGAGCAACGAAAGAAATTATCAGTAATTTACATATCTTTGCACAATCGATTTGTATATTAAGAAGTGCTGTCAAATTTCTATGCCACGTTGGTTTTTAGGAAAACACTTGAGTAGTATCTATACCCTTGCTGTATAGTTATTAACAGTTATTTATTAGTTAAAATTTCCTAGTGGTAGTTGAATGACTTATGTCAGAAACAGTGTTGATTCTGCTGTAATCACATGAAGGAACTGAGTTCTATCGCTCTAATCTATCGCCTTCTGAGAAAAACAACAATTTTTGTAAAAAGTTCTTCTAATGATTTGATCATCTTTTTCCACGAAATATTATTTGTAAATTGCTCGGCTGGTGACGTTTTGTATTAAAGTCAATTAAGGATTGTCTTTACGTTAGTTATTACATTAATATCTCGTGCATTTTAGTTTTCCTTGTTACCCGATTGTTACGTTAGTATCTTGTACACTTTTAGTTTTCCTTGTTACTCGATTGTCACGTTAGTATCTCGTGCACTTTTAGTTTTCCTTGTTACTCGATTGTCACGTTAGTATCTCGTGCACTTTTAGTTTTCCTTGTTACTCGATTGTCACGTTAGTATCTCGCGCACTTTTAGTTTTTCTTGTTACTCGATTGTTACGTTAGTATCGCGTGCACTTTTGGTTTTCCTTGTTACCCGAATGTTACGTTAGTATCTAGAACACTTTTAGTTTTCCTTGTTACCCGATTGTTACGTTAGTATCTCGTGCACTTTTAGTTTTCCTTGTTACCCGATTGTTACGTTAGTATCTCGCGCACTTTTAGTTTTTCTTGTTACTCGATTGTTACGTTAGTATCTCGTGCACTTTTAGTTTTCCTTGTTACCCGAATGTTACGTAAGTATCAAGAGCACTTTTAGTTTTCCTTGTTACCCGATTGTTATGTTAGTCTCCCACGCACTTTAAGTTTTCCTTGTTACCCGAATGTTACGTTAGTATCTCGCGCACTTTTAGTTTTTCTTGTTACTCGATTGTTACGTTAGTATCGCGTGCACTTTTGGTTTTCCTTGTTACCCGAATGTTACGTTAGTATCTAGAACACTTTTAGTTTTCCTTGTTACCCGATTGTTACGTTAGTATCGCGTGCACTTTTAGTTTTCTTTGTTACTCGATTGTTACGTTAGTATCTCGCGCACTTTTAGTTTTTCCTGTTACCCGATTGTTACGTTAGTATCTCGCGCACTTTTAGTTTTCCTTGTTACCCGATTGTTACGTTAGTATCTCATACACTTTTAGTTTTCCTTAATACTTGAATGTTACGTTGGTATCTCGTACACTTTTAATTTTCCTTGTTTCCCGATTGTTACGTTAGTATCTCGTGCACTTTTAGTTTTCCCTGTTACTCAAATGTTACGTTGGTATCGAGAACCGATTGTTACGTTAGTATCTCACGCACTTTTAGTTTTCCTTGTTACTCGATTGTTACGTTAGTATCTCGTACACTTTTAGTTTTTTTGTTACTCGATTGTTGTTAGTATCTCACGCAATTTTAGTTTTCCTTGTTACCCGAATGTTACGTTAGTATCTCGTACACTATTAGTTTTCCTTGTTACCCGATTGTTACGTTAGTATCTCGTGCACTCTTAGTATCTCGCGCACTTTTAGTTTTCCTAAAAGTAAAAGTGCACGAAATAGTAACGTAACATTCAAGTAAGAAGGAAAACTAAAAGATGTACGAGATACTAACGTAACATTAAGGAAAAACTTGAATGTTACTTTAGTATCTCGTTAGTATCTCGTGAACTTTTAGTTTTCCTTGTTACCCGAATGTTACGTTAGTATCTAGAACACTTTTAGTTTTCCTTGTTACCCGATGTTACGTTAGTATCTCGTACACTTTTAGTTTTCCTTGTTAACCGATTGTTACGTTAGTATCTCGCGCAATTTTAGTTTTCCTTGTTACCCGAATGTTACGTTAGTATCTAAACACTTTTAGTTTTTCTTGTTACCTGATTGTAACGTTACTATCTCGTGCACTTTTAGTTTTTCTTGTCATTCTATTGTTATGTGAGTATATCGCGCAATTTTAGTTTTCCTTGTTACCCGATTGTTACGTTAGTATCTCGCGCACTTTTAGTTTTCCTTGTTACCCGAATGTTATGTTAGTATCTCACGCACTTTTAGTTTTCCTTGTTACCCGAATGTTATGTTAGTATCTCGCGCACTTTTAGTTTTCCTTGTTACTTCAATGTTACGTTACTATTTTGTGCACTTTTACTATTCCTCAATACTTGAATGTTACGTTAGTATCTAACACACTTTTAGTTTTCCTTGTTACCCGATTGTTGTTAGTATCTCGTGCACTTTTAGTTTTCCTTGTTACCCGATTGTAACGTTAGTATCTCACGCACTTTTAGTTTTCCTTGTTACCCGATTGTTATGTTAGTATCTCGTACACTTTTAGTTTTCCTTGTTACCCGATTGTTATGTTAGTATCTCGCGCACATTTAGTTTTTTCTTGTTACCCGATTATTACGTTAGTATCTCGTACACTTTTAGCTTTCCTTGTTACTTAAATGTTACGTTAGTATCTCGCGCTTTTTTAGTTCTTCTTTTCACTCGATTGTTACGTTAGTATCTCGCGCACTTTTAGTTTTTCTTGTTTCTCGATTGTAACGTTAGTATCTCGCGCACTCTTATTTTTTCTTGTTACCCGACTGTTACATTAGTATCTCGTACACTTTTAGTTTTCCTTGTTACCCGATTGTTATTTTACACTTTTAGTTTTCCTTGTATCTCGTACGTTAGTATCTTTTTAGTTTTCCTTGTTACCCGATTGTTACGTTAGTATCTCGTACACTTTTAGTTTTCCTTGTTACCCGATTGTTACGTTAGTATCTCGTACACTTTTAGTTTTCCTTGTTACCCGATTGTTACGTTAGTATCTCGCGCACTTTAGGTTTTTCTTGTTACCCGATTGTTACGTTAGTATCTCGTACACTTTTAGTTTTCCTTGTTACCCGATTGTTACGTTAGTATCTCGTACACTTTAAGTTTTCCTTATTACCCCATTGTTTCGTTAGTATCTCGTACAATTTTAGCTTTCCTTGTTACCCGAATGTTACGTTAGTATCTAGAACACTTTTAGTTTTTCTTGTTACCTGATTGATACGTTAGTATCTTGTTTTAGTTTTTTCCCTCGATTGTTATGTTAGTATCTCGTACACTTTTAGTTTTCCTTGTTACCCGATTTTACGTTAGTATCTAGTTTTAGTATCTCGTTAGTATCTCTTTTTAGTTTTCCTTGTTACCCGATTGAACACTTTTAGTTTTTGTTACCTGTTAGTTAGTATCTCGCTTTTAGTTTTTCTTGTTACCCGATTGTTACGTTAGTATCTTTTTAGTTTTTTTTAGTTTTTCTTGTTACCCGATTGTTACGTTAGTATACTGTTTTTAGTTTTTTTAGTTTTTTGTTACCCGATTGTTTTTAGTATCTCGTACACTTTTTTTAGTTTTTCTTGTTACCCGATTGTTACCCACTTTTAGATTGTTACGTTAGTATCTCGTACACTTTTAGTTTTCCTTTTAGTTTTTAGTATCTCGTACACTTTTAGTTTTCCTTGTTACCCGATTGTTACGTTAGTATCTCGTACACTTTTAGTTTTCCTTGTTATCTCGTTATTTTACCCGTTAGTATCTCGTACACTTTTAGTTTTCTTGTTACCCGACTGTTACGTTAGTATCTCGTACACTTTTAGTTTTCCTTGTTACCCGATTTTTACGTTAGTATCTCGTACACTTTTAGTTTTCCTTGTTACCCGATTGTTACGTTAGTATCTCGTACACTTTTAGTTTTCCTTGTTACCCGACTGTTACGTTAGTATCTCGTACACTTTTAGTTTTCCTTGTTACCCGATTTTTACGTTAGTATCTCGTACACTTTTAGTTTTCCTTGTTACCCGACTGTTACGTTAGTATCTCGTACACTTTTAGTTTTCCTTGTTACCCAATTGTTACGTTAGTATCTCGTGCAATTTTAGTTTTCCTTGTTACCCGAATGTTACGTTAGTATCTAGAACACTTTTAGTTTTTGTTACCTGATTGATACGTTAGTATCTCGCACTTTTAGTTTTTCTTGTCACTCGATTGTTATGTTAGTATCTCGCGCACTTTTAGTTTTCCTTGTTACCCAATTTTTACGTTAGTATCTCGTACACTTTTAGTTTTCCTTGTTACTCAATTGTTACGGTAGTATCTCGTTCAATTTTAGTTTTTCTTGTTTCCCGATTGTTACGTTAGTATCTCGTGCACTTTTAGTTTTCCTTGTTACCAGATTGTTACGTTAGTATCTCGTGCAGTTTTAGCTTTCCTTGTTACTTGAATGTCACGTTAGTATCTCGTACACTTTAAGTTTTCCTTGTTACTTGAATGTTACGTTAGTATCGCGTACACTTTTAGTTTTCCTTGCTACCGGAATGTTACGTTAGTATCTCGTGCACTTTTAGTTTCCTTGTTACCCGAATGTTGCGTTAGTATCTTGTGCACTTTCCGTTTTCCTTGTTGTGCGATTATTATGTTAGTATCTCGTGCACTTTTAGTTTTCCTTGTTACCAGACTGTTACGTTGGTACCTAGCCTCGATTTGGTGTGCCACGCAATCCAAGATAGCGCTGCGTAATAAAGGTGTATATTTCAACCAAAAAAAATTTCTTCTTGACCCCCCATATTAATAGAAAGGACACAAAAGTTACTTCAGGTGATTTAAATTAAATAGTTTATTCTTTTCCTTACAAAAGTGTTTGTTTCTTTGCAGGTGGACGCTTTTATGACGAGAAAGTTTGACACTATCTCGCTTGTAAGTGACTAGCAACGATTGAGTGAAAGTGCTTGTCTCCTCGCTCCCCAACACACAAAAAAACAAAACAAAACAAAGCAAAAAAAACATTGGGAGAATTTAGATGGTAAATTGGATGAAAATAAAGCAGTTTTAAAGCAGTTTGCCCCACGAAAAAATGAAAATACATTTGTCCTTACAGAGAAGAACTGTCCTCTCACTCTTGAAAACGGAGATTTCAGATCTTTGCGTATGTAAATAGCGGCATCACATCTGATTTCGGCAAAACTTAGAGTAAGTTTCCCAATTCGGTATATCAAGAAAAATCGAAGTATTACCAAACGCGCGCAAATTATGCTGTTTGACTGACAAGGTTCAAACGGAAGCGAGGCAATATGTCCACCCAGCCGTTACAATTACTGCATCTTGCATTCTGTCTGATTGCCTGTCGATTTACTTGCCGTTTCTCCCAAAGCCTGCCGTCTCCGACTCTTATCCTGTTGTGTTGAGGCACCTAAAAAACCACAAAAAAGATAGGTGAATGTCCGGTAGACCATGTTTGATATGCTTGGAAGCGAGTCAGGAGATTGGTCTAATGCACGAGGGCGAGGCTCATTGTAAAATAAGAGCAAAACAAGTAAACAACCTAAACGACGTCAAGTTCTACAAATACACTGAGAGATTATTAAAATCCCAAAGATGAATCTATCCACAGTCGTTGTTCTTTCTAATTTATGATTCCATAACTTTACATGATCTGTACATTTCTTTGTGTTTCGGACGACCAACAATCGAGAGGTTGATTTATAAATATCGTGTAAACGTTTATTTAGTGACATTTTTTCCCTTCTCCTTATTTTGATTAATATCCAAGTCATTTAACATTAATTTCTATGACCCATCTACTCAATTTTTAGGACTTTCCATGATTGAGAAGTGATATGATGAAATTCCATGATTTCCAGAGTTTGCCACGACCTGTACGAACTCTTGATCGTGGAACGCTTATTTTGTCTCAAGAAAATAAGCTTTGCTGTCGGAAAACTGACCGCGAACAAACATCTGTGCAAATTTTTGCCACAAATGTGGTCTATTTATGATATTTTTCTTACTTGGCATCTTTTGATTGTTGTGTCTTGGCAACTGACTCCTCCCAGGTTTAGGGATCTTTGGCCTTGGACCCTGCGGTATGTTGACAGACTTTGTCTTCCGTGGCGACAGGGGCATCTCCGGAGGGAAGAACTGTCCCCTTGGGGGAACACAAGTGGACACATGACTTTCTGCCTGGAAAAATAGAGAGAAAAAGAGCAAATCAATATGTTGTTCATTTTTTTACAAGAATCGGATCACATTCTTAACGTTTTTTTATCTTTATATCAGAACCAGAGCTTACTAATTGACTTTTTTTAGTGTTGCCGAAAATCAAGCGATAGCCCAGTGGCTACCTCTCTTTGTTCGTTTATAGGATGTTCATTCCTTGGTACTACACCACTTTATACTTGCTGCACGACTTGCTGCTTCGACAAATCTTACTCACCCCGTCTTTCGTGAATGTAGGCTGAACAGCTTTCATGGCTGCACTGCGGGTTTTCACCGCTGTGGAGGTACTCTGGCGGTCTGCCTCATTGCCGCTGGATAAATGTCGTCTCTTGGCGATTCTGACATCTGACGCTATAGTGAAAGAGAACATCAAGAAAATTGTAAAGATAAGCAATGCTTCCCTAAAAAGGACATTCCTTCGCAGTTTGTATGATAAAACATTTCACGTCTCTTCTTTGACAAGTTCTGTCGTCCAAATAAATGTGCCAGTCTTTAAAGTAGGAGACTATTCTAGAACAAAATATTTTAGTATATATAGTAACAAATTATGGAGGGTTAAGAAAAATTTTTTTCATAATTTTTTAAGTAACCAGTGGTGCTAAGAAAGTTCCCTTGGCTAAATAAATGCTTCTTACGAACAACAAAAGGCGATGTCTATGAGGCTAAAGAAAAGAGTAAAAATCCAAACTAAAGTTGACGATGACCGCATCTTGTAAGACATGGAATAAGGTATGTTTAGCATCACAAATTGGTTTGATGTTATTGGGAGGGTGGAATACTCATTGACGGTCCCAATAAAAAAAACTATGAATGATTGACTAAATTAGTGCGATTTTGCAGGCGCTTACGATTATCTGCGCGTGTATAGTTTTGAGTCCTGCCATTTAAGTAGGTTGTTGAAAAAACTAGACACCAATTTTTTATGGCCTATAGGCTATACAGGATGTTGCAATTATACTGAAAATGGCCACTCTCCAAACACAAAGAGCAGCAAAGCAAAACCAATACATTGCTGGAATACTTGTGACACTCAACCAGAAAATTTCTCTTGCGGACATGCATTTACACTGTTCAGTATTAAAACAGCACACACCTTGCTGGCCTGCCCTTTTCTTGGTGTCAACAGAACCATTTGGTTTATAAATTCCTCTTTTATTCGCCTCAACGTACACATCCGTAACTCTTTCTTCGAGTGGCAAACTTTCCTTCGTGGATATCGTCTGCCGCTGTGTTCTGCTTGTTGATGCTGAGGACGTTTCCCGCGTGGCAGCCGCCTGTGTAGTGACGGTTGTAGGGGACTTGATTTCTAGGTTGGATAAGGATTTAGCGAGTGGCGAGAGAAGAATATCTCCTTTTACGAAACTCACTCCAGAGGGCTTGGATGAACTTGATCCATCTGAACTTTTTCCAGCACCAGCATTGTCTGTGCAAGGTGATGCAGCGTTCTTGTCCCAGCTGAGTTTTTCTAGCTTGTTTGCAAGTTTTAGATTGGTGGCGAAAGCTTTCCTCTGGTTTGCAATGGTTTTCCATTTTTAACTTCGCTTTCTGTTTGGTTAAGCTGTTCTTTAACCTGCTTTAGCTCTTTACACTTTTCCTCGAAATTCTTTTCCGTCTTATCGAGTTTGTTTTTCAGATCTTTATACGAAAACGTCAGTTCGACTAGATTAGTTTTCTTATCTTTGATGGATTCTTCATTCTCTTTAACAGCAAGCTGCAGTAATCTCTTCACCTCAGCCAGCTCCTGGTTTTTCTCCTTGAGACAATTCTGCTCTTTTTCAAGAATTCCTCTCATTTCCTCGACAATATTTGACAATTCCTTCTTTTCTTTCACTTCTTTTCCTAGCTTTACCTCAAGTTCGCGGACTTTCTTCACAGAAATTTCTGTATAAAATTTTTCTTGCATCATCGAGGCATCTTTCTCTTGTTCAAGACGACCCTTTTCTTCTCTGAGGTTCTCTAACTGTTCCTTCATATAGTCACATTGTTGCTGCAGCTCTGTCACAACCTGAGCTGATTTACTGAGCTCCTCCCCTAAAGAGGCCACCGTCATTGATAGCTCATTCCTCTCGTCCATCAGGCCTAAAACTAGAGATTCCTTTGTTTGCAATTTTTCCTCAAGTTTAGTTGATTCAGAGCGCAGAAAGTCAACTTTATGTGATAAAGCTTCTTCTCTACCTTCCGTCTCGAGTTTCTTTTCTTCGCGAATCCGTCCTAAATCCTTCCGCAAGGAGGAGTTTACATCTTCAAGTTCTTTCATCCTTGATTCCAGCCCGTTGCATTTCTCTTTCAAGTGACTTACATTTAGGCGTTCTTCGTTCAAATCGGAGATGTACTGTTGAATTTTCCCGTTACTATAAATTCCGGAATTCCACAGCTTCTTTTCTTCTTCAAATTCTCTGTCCCTTTCCTCGGCTGCCTCGAGGAGTACATTCTAAAAAGACAGAACGACAGTTCTCTGGTCTTGTGATCAAAATTAACTTGTCGGTTTGCATTAATTCAAAGAATAGAATACGGTAGTGGTTCTAAGGCTTCCCTAACAGGAATCTTTTCAACCCAAATAAAAAGACCCGCACTTGAAATAAGATCGATGCGATCAACAAAAGTATCAAATGGTGGTAGGGGTGTAAGAATTTAATTTTCTTCGACTTTTATCAGTAATTATTTTCTTAATTATATTTTCTGACATGTCTGAAACATATTTCTTTCTTCACCCTGAGTAAGCAAATGGGTTCCTACCTTTACAAGTGGTGATTACCGAATATACGTAAAGGAAACGTTTAAATCCCTAAAATGTTTAAATTTTGTTACGGCGATGGTAATCAGAGAAGTAAGCAGGCAATCAACGTGAACAACCAGAAAAATTCAATTACCTTTTCTTGTTGTAAACTTTTAAGATTGTGTCGCAACTGATTTAGTAAGGATTCCATCTCTTGTAGTTCTTTGTCTTTACAAGTCAGTTTGTACTCTAGAATACCGACCTCGTTGTTAAACGTCTGTTCTTGTTGCAAGGCAAACTCTCTGGCTGCCTCAACAATCTTTTGTCTCTCTCTTTCAAGCCATTTGTCTGTATCCTGTTTTTCTGCTCGAAGAACTGCCAGCTAAATGAAAGATAAAGACATGATGGACTTTACTCTCGTGCTATTTAATTCTTACCATAAAATCTAATAAAATAAAGACAATTGATGCACTGAAGCCGATATCTATTTCATATTTCCTGAGGCTGTGGATTTTTCTGCATGTAGGGCACCTGACATGAGATATTGATTAGTCTGTAACTTAGGAAATTTTGGCAAAAAACATGTAACTTCCAAAAGGTGAAACCCAAGTAATCACAACAAAGAAAAATATCCAAGTAGCTAATCAGAACTGAAAGAACGGTCTGAAACGCAACCTCCTTCTCAGGGTCATCTCCCTGCTCCCTCGAAAAAGGAAGGAAGAGAGAGGAGCCTGGGAAGAAGGTTGTCTACTATGCAGAAAAACCATATTGCCTAGTTAGATAAAACAGATACCTACCTCTTTCTCTGCTTCATTCAAAGCATCCTTCATGTTTTCCACTAGTTCACAATGTGTAGTCAGTTCATGCAGTCTACCCCCCAGAGTTTCCTTCTCTTGCTCTGAAGTGTGTGGAGGGTCACAATAATTATACAAAATTTAGTCAACCATTTGTAATACACTCAAGTACAGTAACTCAACAACCGTACCAGAAGATAAAAACAATAAACAGCCTTCATTTTTACATTTTCCACTGCTTGAATAAATACATCATTTAAATCAGATTTTAAAGAAAATTTTATAATTTCAGAACATAAGATTTGCTCCATGGACAAACCACAAAATATAATCCTGCAAAATCATCATAGTATGCCATATATCATAACATACAACATGTAAATATTGGTGGCCTGTCACACTTACAGCACCGCTCACATGTATTGCAGCACCTGCATCTATACCAAGTGCATGTAATACCTTGAAATTACCTGCACTTGACACACATGTGCTGTTGCAGTATGCTTCAATATCACTGTATTACTTACCTAAGGCTTCTATGTTAGTATTTGCTTCATTTGGCTGAGACTTGATTTTGTATATCTCTGACAGTTTTGTGCTCATCTCTTTAATGTCATGTTCCTTTTTATGGAGGCATTCAGACATTTCACTCATCTCTCTCAGCTTCTCCTTCATTTCTGAGTCCTTTGCTTCTAGTTTCTCAGTTGCCAAAGCTAGCTCACTGGTTTTATATTTTAACTCTTGTTGTACAGTAATGTCCTTGATTTCTGAAGTAGAGGGCATAGATACCTGAAAATTTTATAGAAGACAAAAATGAGATGTAGATTTAGCTGTAAGCACACACTATGAATACATACATGCATTTTGAAGTTATTTTATCCCTTTGGCAAAAACAAATTCCACACGCAAGATGCTTTTCAACAGGTACTGTTACAGTAGCTTATGTATGATATCTGCATCATTCCACAGTGAGCAACTTTTTCCAGCCATTTTCAGACTAAATGAAAACATTTGCATTTAATATGAACAAGTTCGATTGATTCAAGGAGGATGGTAAAAGGAAACAAATTATTTTTTCCCACCATGGGTTTTTATCATATCCAGGGCATGCTTAAATTCTACTTTTCAAAGTCTAAGTGTATCAGATTTGACATGGTTTGATGCTACTCTGGTTTACAGATTTAATTAATGTAACCAAAGAAGTTACAATTCATAGACCCAACATTTCAACACCCCTGTCTTGTGCCTTCATCATCCACCCCTGATGAACGCACTAGATAGGAGTGTTGAAACATTGGGTCTATGAATTGTAACTTCTTTGGCTACATTCATTAAATCTGTAAACCAGAGTAGCATCAAACTATGTCTGATTGTCCACCTGGTTGCCATATTAACTTTAATATATTGTATCAGATTTGTATAGTTATAGTATCTTTACATTGTTAAATATTGGAGCAATCAGGATTTTTAAAATAAGGTGGCAACTAGTGCATTTCACTGAATGCCTGCGGTGCAATTTGCAGAATGATAGCAAAACATTACAAGCATGCCAAGTAGTGCTTACTCTTTATCACAAACCAGCTTCTGCAAACCTTAACAACAACCCTGAAGCATTCACTGAAATAATGACTGGATACCTCAGCCTGAAACATCTTGACCTTTACAACATTGCTTAGCACAATGAAAATACTTTATAAGAAAAAGCAACTCTAGTTCTTGTATGTAACAGGCACTCTTGGGATGATTGAAATTTCTTATTAAAATATAAGAGAAAATGGAGAGAAAAGTCATCAGAAATCCCCTAGTATATAAGTATATAGTTTTTAGAATATCTATTTACCATATCTATTATTCATTTGTGATATTTAGACAGGCTGACCCAGTTCAGTTTTAAAACTGGTTTAACTACTGTAGGGGTCTGTACAAACAGTAACAAGGCCAGACTAAAATCATGTACATGAACTACTGATTAATTGATCTTCACAGCAGTGATTTTATCTACTGCTTCAAGTAGTGTTCATCATAAAGCAAACATCACTCTCACATTCATTTCTTTATTCGCATTTCGTTAAAATGATATACAGTCATTCATTCATCATTTCACTGGTTTATTACGAACAAACATAATCACCTGCTCCCCATTGACTTGTTAGCTCAGTAAACTAAAGCACTGCACTGGTATCACAGAGGTCATGAGTTCAACTCTGGTACAGGCCTAAATTTTTTTCAGACGTTATTTTTATCACTGGTTAAGTAGTGTTCATTACTGCAAAGATCACTCTTGCATTCGAGTGAAGTATGTGTTATAAACCTATAATTGTATTTTCACCATACCTCGTTACTGACTTTCAAAGAATTGGCATTTAGTTCAAGCAGTTCTTTTCCAATCTTCTGGCACTGTTCTCTCTCCATTTGAAGGTTTTCTTCTATTTCCTTTAGCTTTTTTTCCTGATTAAACTCCCACTCCATTTCAGACTCAAAACCAGATGAGCTCTTCTGCTCTCTTGAATCTGGTTCTTCTCCCAGTCTTTTCAGTTGACTTTCTAATGCTTCAACTCTTTCTTTGTGATCTTAAAAGACAACCAGTATCAATTAAATAGTTCCTTTAACAACTGCAGGTCAGGTCTTGGGTAACAATACTATATAACCCTGCTACTTTGAACTGCCAAGAAAAGCAAACAAGACAGTGTAAGGTACCTCTCAGTTCAAGCAAGCTAATCATAAATGAATGAAAAAAAAACACACACACATTTCAGGAGAAATGCTCTATGTTCAAGTGCAATGTGTCTAAGTCTAAGAGTTCCTAACATGAAAAAAAGGAAAAAAGCCTAACTTTGATAAGGATTAACCAAAATTGTCCATCATTCTTTCCTAGACTCCTCCTTTTTACTTGTAAAAAGTGACCAGATGATGGGGTAAACTAGCTTTATAAAGCCAACTAATTTTTATTTGCCAAGCTCTGGGCTAAAACAACATCTGAACACTGACTTTCCCTTTGTGATTGCCTTAAAATGTGACTGCCAGAACAAGGATGTTTCTCAACTAGGAAGTATAAATGACTAACAGTACATTATCCAGCCTGGATCATCCTGGATAGCAACAGAAAGTCACACAAATATACAAACACTTCTTAATAACAACAAGTACACTGTACCTTAAAGGGCATTTAAAATAATACTACCCGAAACCTCTACTACATGTACAGGTATGCAAACAGTTTTAAGAATGAAGTTATGTTTCAAAATCTATCATCATTATTGAAGGCTTAATCATCTGGCTAGGCTCTAAGACAAACAATCAGTAAGAGTCTGAAGATGATTGCCTTGTAGAGGGATGTCCATTGAGATCAAATTCAAACAAGGAAATATATATTTTCTCTCTTTTGTTAAAGAATCTGTCCCTTGAATTTCGCTACAAATAGTTTAGAAGCATTGGGAAACACTCAACTCAGCAAAATTGATCTTTTCCTCTCTGAAATAGACCTGATTTAACAACGTCTTGAAATTAACTTTAAGAAAAGTTAAAATCAGTGTACGAGACATAAGTTAAATTTGTTGTATAAGTAATTTTTAGAGGAAAAGTTTGGGATAAGGACTGCAACATTTTAAATTATTACACTGTACATGCCCTGCAAAGCAGATCTTACCGGCGAGTTGTCTCTGCAGTTGGTTATTTGCATCGTTTGATTCGGTCAAATCCGCCGTCTGTTTTTCAACTTTTTCCACAAACTGGTTATGATCGTGCTGTAAATTATCCAAAACATTTGTCAATCGAAGTTCCAGACAACGAATCTGGGCTTCCTTTACATTCAAATCGTGAAAAGTCTCTTCTCGATTTTGCCCTAACTCTTGAGTTGATTTAGCCAGGAAATTATTTTCTTTTTTCAGAAAGGAAGAGTTTGCGTTCTCGTCATCTGTAAGCCTCTTCTGTTTGTCCAAAGCAGCTTGTAAACTATCCAATTGAAACTGCTTTTGTTTGCAGTCCTTCTGGAACGTTTGACATCTTTGTTCGAGCTCGTACACATTTTTAGTAGCATTGACAGATAGTTCTTGCTTCCCCTCTTCTTCCACCCAAATCATTGCAGAAGGAATGCTCAAAGATCTACAAAAAACTTCCGAAAATCACTACATCGATTGAGAAAATCCCACCGTAACTCGATTGCCCAGTATTATTCTTCGATCAGTCGATGACCTTGCGAGAGAATCTAACAGTTGAGATAATTTAAATCAGAGCCATTCTCGACTGTGATTGGTCAATGTCATGTAAATCTTAGTCAAGGAACAGACCGAAAATATCGAATTTCATTCAAACTTCGCCGCAGAAAAGGCGAAACTGAACCCTCTCTCAAGTCATTCAACCATGCGCTTTGATGGGAATCCATCGTCAAACCCTTGAAATTTTCTGTCCTCAGACATAAAAACGGGAATGCTCAACATTCCGAATAAAATAGCCTTTTTGATGTTAAATAAGAATATTCGTAGAGCAATTTTAGTGCGATGATATGAAGCTTTACAACATGCCCATACACTTCAACTGAATTCAAAATCTACAGCATCGTTTGTGTGAGTTGCCTGCAGCATGATTGTTGAGACAACTAGATTGTAAACAATGCTCATCGGCTGCTTATGGTATCACCAAAGTGTTTTGTGTTCCAGGATTTATCTATCATATTTGTCCGGTGGCGAGAGAAGCTGTCCCAGTAGGTTTGCCTCACTTTGAATTTTCTGCGTTTTGGCCAACTAACCAATCAACGATCAAGAATGGCCCCGATTTGAATATCAACTGAGATCAACTGTCATTCACTCACAGGAAATCTGACAACAACCTACTTGGCTTTCGAATTATGGCGGGATTTTCGTAATCGAAGTAGAGATTTTCAGTAATTTTTCGTAAAGCTTTGAGGCTTCCTTCGGCAATGAGTTGGGCAAAAGAAGAATGGAAGCAAGAATTATCAGCCAATGCTATCAAAAATGTGTACGAGCTTGAGCAAAAATGTGAAACATTCCAGAAGGACTGCAAACAAAGGCAGTTTCAGTTGGACAGTTTACAAGCTGCTTTGGCCAAACAGAAGAAGCTAACAGATGATGAAAAGGCGAACTCTTCCTCTCTAAAGAAAGAGAATCATTCCCTGACTGAATCCATTCAAGAGTTAGAGCGAAATCGAGAAAAGACTCTTCACGATTTGAATGCGAAGGAAGCACAGATTCGTTGCCTTGATGGTAAACTTGCTCGCTGTCAACAGATGCTCGATACGGAAAGTGCCAGTAAACTTCGACTGACAAATGTTTTGGATCATTTACAGCACGATCATAACCAGCTTGTGGAAAAATCTGAAAAACAGATGGCGGATTTGACCAAATCAAAAGAGGCAAATAACCAACTGCAGAGACAACTCGCCGGTAAGATTTTCAGTACAGGGCATGTGTAGTGTATTCATTTAAAATGTTGTACTCCTTACTCCAAAAAAATTTCCCTTAAAAAATACATTCAAAATTAACTTATGTCTCATACACTCTCTTTTTTTGTTGTTTTGACGTTTCCAATCCACTGTCTGGTGTCTTTGATGAGGACAGTTTGATTTTTTTATATGGAGAGAAAGAAGAGTTTGAATAATACATGCTGATCATTTGAAGGGTCCATAAGTTTTGAAATTGAGAAAAAAATGTAATTAGATTATAAGACAAGTCGTCAAATCAGGTTTACTGTTTTCCAAGTGCTTCTCAACTATTTGTGCTGAAATCCAAGGGACTGCCTATAACAATGTAGAGGAAATGTATATTTACTTGTTTTGGTTTTTCTTTTATCATAATTGACATTTAGTAGAAATAAAAGGGGGAATCTGGAAAATTTTGAAAACAACTTTGATTTTTAAGGCTACTCATAAATTTAACCTTGATTTCAAGTCAACCTTGAAATCAACCTTGATTTCAAAAAGAGAGATGTTACACATTTTCAAAACAACCTTGATTTCAAGACAACTTGAATTTTCACTGGTGAATGATATTCACAATGTCTCAATCGTGAGTTCTGAAGAGGGGTTGTGAATATTATTCTCTGGAACAATTCTCTTGTTGCACCATTGGGGTATTGATTGTTTGTGTGAAGATTTTCAAATATCAATGTTGTATCTTCTCACAAAGAAATTATTGTGTGCCTTGATTTGATCTTCTGTCATAACAGTGTTATCTAATCATTGTGAGAGAAGATTGGCATTGGCATAGGTGCCTGTTTTTTATGAAAAGCTTATTTGATAGGTGAGAAGTTATTTCAAACTTGCAGGGACAAGTTTGAAAAAAGATTGCAAGAACTTTCAGGAAAAAATATGTCAATTATTAAAGTTAACCGATTATTCACGGGTGCATGCTTAGTTTTGATAAAATGTTTGTGAACAAAAATCACCTGTCTTTTTGTTTTTACAAAAGCCCATTTGAAGACATCAGAATTGACAACAAAATTGTTCACCAAAAAACTGGTCTGGTGCAACAGACAAATTCTGTCACATTAATTTGCATACAAGCTTTAATTAGTTGTTGCAGACATGGTAAAATATGAACAAGAAACGTATCACAGAATTTCCGATTTATCTTCAAGCTTTTATGCAAAGGATTGTCACAAGATTCCAAATACCAGGGATTTTCCTAATGATGAAAAGATGAAAATGATGGAAAAATTTCCAGAGCTTGTTCCAGCAGAAGTTGAAAGTCACAGATTTCTCTCATCAAATTGGACCCTTCAGTAAGTGAAGAAAGACAAATGGACTACTTTGGTGTTGATGATGAAAACAAAAGAATTATACACCAGAGGAGTGTGTTCAGTCCATAAATATGCTGTCAAGTGCTATCAGAAGCATTCACAGAGACATTTTGTTGTATTCCTCCTTGCAAGGTGAATTGCTTTCACTCTTGAAAGATTTCTATGGTTCATCATTTTCTGCTATATTGTGAAATAACCTCAACATTTCAAGATCGCATGCTTTTTTCTTGATGAAATTTTACAAATTTGTCACAGATTATCCAAGACTTTTGTGAAGTAAACTGCCACTAAAATATTTTCAAAAAAACTTTTCATGATGGAGAGAAATAGATTTGGAAAGAACTGTGAAATTGGCTGAAAAAACAACAAATGAATGTGATTGAATTTACTTAAAGGTTATCAATGATATTTGCGATCTAAAGAGCTTTCTCTTTCATATTTTTATCTTGTATTAAACATGTGGGCAGTGTGATGTGTAGGTGATAAAAAACTTCTTGTAAAAAATTTGCATGTCAAGAAATAAATAGTAAAAAACCATTTGATCTTCTCTCAAATTCAAATCTTACTTCATCATGTTTACAAGTGGTCCAAGTTTTTTTTCAATAATTTTCCCTGATCTGTTCTCTTATAACTTCAAAGTCAATCTCAGATGAGCTTTTTGCATTATTTCTCAACTGTTTTTTCAGGGAATAATACTGCTCAATCACACACAAAATTGAGTCAAATTCAATGTCATATATTGTTATTTTCAATTGCCTTTGAAAACAACCCACTGACTGACAGCTTCTTTGTCTGAGCGATTGAAATAGTTTTTTCATGTTTTGTAATTTTTGTTATTGAAAGTTTTGCTCCCAACACTAAGTGCTGGTAATGTAAATCCCAGAAAGGCAGCTAACGCCATGGGTGCCCCCACAATAATCCCAATTCCACTCAAAACCACCATACTGCTTGTTGACAATACAGCCAATGTTACTCCTGTCACAGGGTATGCTGTGTAGCAAACAGATCTAATTTTCTTTAATTTGCCAAGAATATAATTATCAGTTATGAGAAATCTCACTCTCAGGTTCCTTCTGACAATCACAAATCATCTTCAACCTGAAATTAGCCAGTATTGAATAAATCAGCAGTGCACTAAAGGCCTGGCCAATGGCTTACTGCTCAGCAGCCCGCCCCTTCAGGGTTTGGACCTGAATATTTCAGCAGACATTTTTAAATCATTAAATTATCTATAACTCAAACCTCATTGGCATAACACTGAAGTTAATGATCTCCTTATTCTTGTCAGAAACTTTATATGGACATGATATCATTCCTTGTTGATATTTTTCTAACATGGGGTTAGGCAAGGAATAATTTGCCCTTTCAAACTGGCTCTCAGCAATGTCAAAGCAATCAAGAATGCTTGAGGGCTCCTCATTGAGTGGTTTCCATCCTTGTCCAAAAGATCACAATGGACAAGGTGAATGAAGTTAATTGGATTATGAGATTTTTCTCTTATAAATGTTGATCAAACCATGAGTGAAGAAAGATCTCTATTGAGTTTAACTTTCTTTTTCCGGGGATTAAGGATTACCTTTCCTACCCTTTGAATCATTCATTGTAACTTTAAGTCCTTTACCTTCAGTTAATAATTTTTACAAGGGCTTTCACAAGGCCCTCAAGAGTGTATTTGCCTGAAGGAATTGTTTCAACACTTACATTGTTTTGTCTATTGGTGATAGATATTTCTCCTCTTCTCTTTAAATTATACAATGAATTATAGAGAGAACAAGACAACAGTCTGATATAGTTTGATTTAATGAGAGGTTCTCAGAAGCAAACTGTGTAATTATTTGAATCTGCATTAATTGTCCAAACAACCATTTTGATTATAAAAGCAAGAAAATGTTTAACTCTTCAAGTTCCAGCCCTTTGGGGCTTGCGTAGCTAAAATCAGATGAAGTGAGTGAAATTGCAGATAAAGCAAAGACAAAAGCCTGGAATAATTTCAAAGCATGATATCCAAATGCAGACTTGAGTAAGTTCAGTGCACAAGTTTCGTTTGATTATAAAGGACAAGCAACAGCTGCAGTTTACTTCAGTCGATCAGATGAACTTCAAACAAGTGTCTCAAGAGCAGACAGAAGATATTGGGATAGTGACATGAACAAGACACTTTTAATTGGAGGTTTTCCTCTTGAACTCGCTCTGAGGCTTTGGCCACGCACCAAAAGGGCTAACTTTATCAAGCAAGCATTATCCAGGCTGGATAATTTACTTGTGGCCATTTATACAGCTGTACTTCTTAGTTTAGAAACATGCCTGTACTAGCAGTCATATTCTAATGCAATATCAGAGAGAAAAACAATAATTATTTTCAGAAATTGTTTTAACCCTGTAGTTAGCCCTACCCTTTAGTTTTTTTAAACTGTTTTCTTGATTTGTCTGGTAGTTTAAACTATAAGGGGTCCTACATTAGTTCACATTATCATAGTGATACAGTTTTTACCTTCCTGCATGACATGAGTGCAATTTCACCACAAACTATTTTACTGTTGCTTATCTAATGGAAAGTATGGTAAAGAAACTGCTTGTCTCTATAGGTCATAAAGAAAGAGTAAGAGCATTAGAGAGTCAACTGAAAAGACTGGGCGAAGAACCACATGCAAGAGTGCAGAAGAGCTCATCTGGATCAGAATCTGAGTTGGAATGGCATTCTAATCAGGAAAACAAGATCAAGGAAATAGAAGCAAACCTTCAAATGGAGAGAGAACAGCGCCAGAAAATTGAAAAAGAACTACTTGAACTAAAATTCATTCCTGTAAAAGTTGACAGTGAGGTATGATGAAATACAATTATTAGGTTTATAAGTCAGAGTTATTTGCCTTGCTGCTTCATGGCTCACTAAATATCCATGACTTGTCACCTCCACTTTGTGTTGGCTTAACTTCTCTTGGAACTAAATTAAACAGACAATGTATATTTACACTGACTTGTTTTATTCTTACTAAAAATTGGTTGAAGCAGGGTCACTGGGACCTCTGCCTTTTTTAGGGAGGCTTTTGTACAAAAATGGGGTTCAAAGAAAGGGCTACTGCACCCCAAAAAGTATTAAAACTTATTAGTATAGTCCAGTTGGTATTAATAAAACCAAAGATGAGAATGGCAATAGAGACAGTTGGAGGTCATTAAGTTCAAAGTGAGTTTTCTACATCTGCAGCTTTTCATATTGATATTGTCAATTATGTTTTCAAGTACTTTAACAAAGAAATAATAAAAGTACTTTGAAATACTCTTTTTTTTCGTCAGGCACAATTTTAAGTGCCCCATGTGATACTCTGAAGCAATATTTTTTTTTCAAATTTCAGAAATCTCACCAAAGCTGAGCTCTAAAATAAACCAGGGCTGTGTCAATATAATTTTTTAATCATAGCCAGCGTTTTTCTCAGGGTAATCAGTGAATTGCACCAGTTGCTGGCTTACTTTGAGAAACTTGAATGTTAAAATATGTAATAAGAATGCTCACAGCTAGATTGACTTACTTTTTACTGCTAAAAATTTTTCAGGTATCTTTGCCTTCTACTTCAGAAATTAAAGACTCCTCTGTAGAGCAAGAGTTAAAATCTAAAATCATCAAACTAGCTTCTGCAACTGAGAAACTAGAAGCAAAGGACTCAGAACTGAAGGAGAAGCTGAGAGAATTAAGTGAAGTGTCTGAATGCCTCCACAAAAAGGAAAATGACATTAAAGAGATGAGCACAAAACTGTCAGAGATCTCCACAATAAAGTCTCAGCTGGTTGAAGCAAACACTAACATAGATGCCTTAGGTAAGTTATACCTATGTAGTTGACACTGTGTAGTAATACTCACGTATACTGCAGCATCACATGTGTCAAGTGCAGGTAATTTCTGTGCATTACGTGCACTTGGCATGAAAGCAGGTGCTGCAATACATGTGAACAGCACTGTGAGTGTGACAGGCCCCTGATATTGACACTATGACATATGGCATACTATAAAGATTTTGTAAGTTTTTATTGTGTGGTTTGCCCATGTAGCTAATGGTAGGTTCTAAAATTATATACAGATGACTGTCCAAATTTGATTCAATTTTAGTGGGCAATATTGTACCAATTCAAAAAAGAAAAATGCAAAAAAATTCTGCAAAAGAATGTATGAACAAAAAGCCTTGTTTATGGCATTTTGTTAAACAAAACTATTAATTAATGGTTAGTGCTATGTTTTATTTTGAAAGAACAAAGGGCAAAGCAAAGAGAGTTGGATATGGAATGTCAGCGTCACAATTCAGAGGCTGTCATCAAAGGGTTGAATGACAAGTTAAAGGAGAAAGATAAAGAACACAGGTGTGACTCGCATTTTTGAAATTCATTCAGATTAGCAATGTTAAGCTGCCCTTGATCCTTGGCAGAGTCAAAGTGTTACTGCATGTTCTTGGGAAAGGCACTTTACTGTCATAGGGACTCTGCTCAAGAGTATTCAGACAAACTGGCAGGAAACCTGAGTGAATTGATTCAGGTATAACTTTACTGGGTGTGTGTGGGTCCTGAAAAACCTGGAAAGTCATGGAATTTTATAATTCCTTTTTAAAAACCTGGAAAGTCACAGAATTCAGGTTTGACTGCTGGAAAATCAGGTAAAGTCATGGTGAATCAGCAGGCTTTCTATGAAAGAAAAGCAATGCAGATGCAATTTGCTTGCCATTTAGAATGAACTGATCAGTACATTTGCTTAACTTAGGTCATGGAAAGTCATGGAATTTCCACAGCTCAATAGTTAATGAACCCTTTTTGGGCCTGACATCCCATTCCAGGCAGAGTGACAATACCTCTATGTAGGTCATGATACTAAAAGAACTAGAAGTTCATTTGGACCACAAAAGAGATGATGATAACAGGGGAAACCAAAAACATGCCTACATGCAGTTTTGTGACCCACAAATAATTTAAAGAATTTGTCGGCATGCTAATAATTTCAAAGTTCTAATTCATTAACTTACCGAGGGACACAGCTAATATGGCTGACTATCAAACAATTGTGGGTAGTCATTTTTTAAGTTAACTGATGGAGAACTTCATACTGTGTTTAGCAACTGGCCTGACAGGTGTAATGGTAAAAATTTTGACTTAAATAGATTTGACTCAGATAAATATGACAAATATAACCCTGGCTCAATGCTGGTCACTCCCTGCTCTGAATATTATTCAGTTTGTGATCTCAATAGAAAGCAAACTTATTCTTGCACAGAATATTTTTCCAACCTCTACTTTAGTATTTAGTTTATTTAAACAAAGTTCAATAAAGAATTTGAACTCAGTAGAAAAATTGTTATACTCCTTAAATGCCAAGCTAGCCATTATTGGAATTACTGAAACAAAATTGAGTGAGCATTCTGTTGTTGTTAATACTAACATACCAAGCTATAATCTCTTCTATACCAATTCCCTATCAAATGCTGACAGAGCAGCCTTAAAGGTAGCAAATGAACCTTTGATAAGATTTACTAACTGTGCTTTATCTTGGTCAAAATATATATTTTTTTTAAAATCTCTCAGCTGAAAATTCCTAGGTCTGAGATGATGGGTTAATGAGCTGAGGTACTGCATGTTCAACTAGGTTGAATGAGATAAAGGTAACTCTCAAACTCATTAATTATTCATAGGGTCATTAGCCAATTAGTCTTCTTTTAGTCAGGTACATGACCTTTGATAAGATCTGGCTGTCATGGGTCACAAGATAATAAAAGTGAAAAGTAGGTCTGAGAGTTTGACTGCAGCCCATGTGTCTTATTTCATTGAAAGGGAGAGTGTGTCTGGTCACCTTACAGTCTACAAGTAACTGCTTTCCTCCAGATATGAACAAATATGTCACCAATGTTGTTGTGTGAGTTAAACAAGTTTTTCTTATCTTTGTTAACAGACAAGAGATGCACTCACAGTCACAAGCCATTGCCGCATTGGAAAAACAGTACTCTGACCAAGAGAAGAAATCAAGTAATATACAAAACAAACTCGAAAACAGTCAGAAACTGATAGAAACTAAAGATCACGACATTGCTCGGCTTAAAGCAAGCATCAGCGAGTTGGAAAACAAGATTAAACAGAAGAGTTCTCACCTTGACAATAGGTACACAGAATTAGGGCAGAAGGCAAAAGACCAGCTCGAAGAATGTGTTAAAATGAAGAAGGAATTAGATGATGCTAAACTGGCTCTTGTGGAAAAAGAGAGCACAATGGCTGAATTAAACCAATGCATTGAACAGATGAAACACACCCTTCAAGAGAAGGAGACAGATTTGCGTTTTAAAGAGAAGGAAACTCAAGAGTCACGTGGTGAAGAAAACAAGAAACTAACATCAGCGATGGAAAAAATTTCTCTGTTGCAAAAACAGAAGGTGGATATAGAAACCGAGAGCCAAAAAGCATTACAACAAATCTCTGTTGAAGTAACTACAAGGTCGAAAGAACTTGAACTTGAAAGACAAGAGGTAGCCAAGCTCAAGGAAAGAGTTATGTATTTGGAGAATGTTGTCGTTGGGAAGGAGAAGGAAAGTCAGACGAGTCAAGAGTCTTATAAGATGCTTTGTGACAAGTTGCAAGCGGCAGAGGTGGACAAAGCCAATAGCAAGATGGAGTGGATGAAGGAAAAAGCTGTTTTGGAGGAGAAAGGAAGATCTTTACACAGTGCCATGGAAGCAATGAAGAATGATTTCAAGGCAATGCAACACGACTACAAAAAGGCTTGTGAGCTTGCCGATATGAAATCAGCAGAGGCTACTGATGTGATTGATAAATTGGAATCCTCGCAGAAGCAATGGCGAGAGCTTCAACAAAGACTAAGTCGAACTGAAGCAGTTCTTGGGGAGAAAGAAACCTCTGTAACTTTGATGATGCGGGAAAAAGATGAATTGCTAAAGGAAAAACAGCACAAAGAAGACGAAGCTGGAAGAAACAAAGAAGAGCTAGATCACCTACTTATTGAGAAAGAGGTAGAAATTGAGAGATTAAACGAAGTGTTAGAATCCACAAACTTGAAGTTGGAAACAATCAAAGTTAATTACAAAGAGAAAGAAAACGAGATCGAGAAACTGTCGTTGAAGTTGGGGAGTATCGAGTCACAGTACAAAAGAGTGGAAGATTCTTTTCAAATCTCAGAAGAAAGTTTGTCAAACAGCAAAGAAATGCTGAGGAAGAAAGATATTCTTTTACAAGAAATATCGGCTGAGTTGGAATCAAAAGAGAAAGCCCTAAGTGATTTGCAACTACGACATTCAGAAAAATTAGCAAAACTCAGCGAATTACAAAAAAATTACAGTTTCCTTGAAGAACAGAAGGAGGAAGACAGGAAAATCATGAAGAGCAAGGACGAAGAAATTGTTTCACTATTTAAAGAGATTGATCAGATCAAGGGTAGCACTGAGAAGAAGCTAGATGAAATGAAAGAACAGTGTCATGCAACCAAAAATGAGATTGTGTTTTCACAAGAGAAGGCGGCAAACTTGGAGATGTTGCTTCAAAGTAAAGAGGGAGATTTGGTTGAGACCAAGCAAGAGTTAACGAATGCTAAAGAAGAGCTTGTTACTCTCAAGAAGTATCTTCCATTGCAAGAGGAATCAAGCAAAGAAAGTGGAAGAGAAAATGAAAAGTTGAACAGTGATTTGAAACAAATGTCCGCATTGCTAAAAGCTAAGAATGTGAAGTTGGAAGAATTAACTGACAGTCTGAGTAATCTTAGATTCGAGCACGAGTCTGTTCTAGAACGAACTAGGCTTGAATTGGACCAGCATAAGAAAGAGGAAGAAAGACTGAAAGAACGCCTTGAACAAGCAAATTCTGCTGCAGAGAGTAAAAAAGAGGAGTTAGAGGCTGTTAATTCTCAGTTAGAAGCCTCAGAAGCAGAAAAAACAGAATTAAGCTCCATGCTCGATGAACTTTGTAATACAAACTTCAAGTTAGAGGATCAACTCGCAGAGAAGACAGTACAGCTTGAGCATTTATCGGAAATTGTGAAAAGCAAAGACGAAGAGCTGTCAAATCAAAGCAAACTCATTACAAGTCTTGAGAAAGCTAAAGACGAGGAAAAAGGAAGAATTAACGAGAAGTGTTCTACTCTGCAGAACCAGGTTGTGTCATTACAAGAAAAGAGCATTCAGTTGGAAGCCTGTCTTCAGACCAAAAACACTGAGAGCGGCATTGCAACAGAAAAAATACAGCAGCTTACTTCTGAAATACATAACCTCCAAAATGAGGCCATATCAAAGGGGGAAGTGATTTCAGGAATGGAGAAAGAGAAGGCAGCATTAGTAGAAACTCTCCAGTTTAAAACAACCGTCCTCGAGAGCAAAGAAAGAGATTGCAAAGCAGCTTCTGATAGTCTTGCAGAGTTGAAAGCAAGTGGGCAGTCAACTCTTGAGACTACACTTGCAGAACTGGAATCCTTGAAGACAGAAGTTGCTTGTTTGACACAGAAATTAAACCAAAGCACTGCAGTTATTACAATGAAAAATGAAGAGCTTGAGAGCATACGAAAACAGATTCAGGTTGTGGGGGAGGAGAAGGAAGAACTGGCTATCAAGACGCAAGATTTACATGACCAGAATAGATCTCTTAGAGCAGAGATCACAGAACTTCAAGACACTGTGCAACAAATCACTGCAGCTAGGAGCGATAAAGATCAAGTAATCGAGGGTATTAGAAACCAACTTAAAATTCTGGAGACAGAAAAGGGAGACCTTGGTACCAAGACACAAGATCTACATGACCATAATACAGCGCTAAAGGAAAAGATCACGCAACTTCAAAACAGCCTAGAACAAAGTGGTATAGCCATTGCAAGGAGGGATGAAAAACTAGAGATCAAACTTCAACAGCTTCTTTCCACAGAGGATGAGAAAACAAAGTTGGGTGTCCATAAAGACGAAATGCACAACACTAATATGGCGTTAGAAGAAAAGATTGATGAGCTTCAAAGCCGTGTTGCACAGATGTCCGATATACTGAAAAGTAAGGATGAAGAGTTGATGGCAAAGACCAGTAAACTTGTCGAATTAGAGACTTCTGGCAACCAACAAATCTCGGAGTTGGAAGGAAAGTATTTAGCTCAAGAGGGTAAAATGAGAACATTAGAAGAGACTTCTACTCAGTTAAAGGCTTGCGTAGAGGGTAAAAATGAAGAACTGAGTTGGTCATTGGCATTCCAAACAGAATTATCCGATAAACTGCGTTCTTTGGAAGCTTTAATTGCTGAAAAACAAGAATCTTTGAAGCATGCTGAAGAAGAACTGAGAAACGTGAAACAGAAGCTTCAGCAACAGCAAGTTGTTATCGAAGATAAAGAGGTAAAGCTCAGGGAGGCGTCTGCGAGTTTGGAACATGAAAAGTGCAAAGGAGATCAGACCATCAAAGGATTACAAGACCAGCTGGATGATTCGCAAAATGCGCTCGTTATGGCGAAGGAAGAGTTGGACAAAATGAATGTAGTTCTTGAAATGAAAGACCAAGATGTCGAGTCAATGTATGAACGCCTCGAAGCTGCAGAACATGAAAAGAAAACTCTGGAGAGTAGACTGGATGAACTAAATACGCAGTTTGAGCTATTGAAAGGCAAGAATACCCAAATGGCGACCGATACGGAACAGTTGTCAACCATACTGAAAAGCAAAGATGAGCAACTTGCTGAGAAAAGACAAGAGATACAGAAACTTCTTAAACAAGATAACACTGAGAGAGTGGCCGAGTTGCAGAATCAGAGTGCTACGCAAACAGACATGATTGCTTCGTTACAAAGCAAATGCAGCCAGTTGGAGTCTTTTGTGGAAAGTAAACAGACGACACTCGTCGCCTTGGAAGAAAAATTACACGAACAGAGGGAAAAAATTGGCCAGCTTCAAGAAACTATTGGTAGAGCCAGTGAGGAAGCAGCTAAAGAGAGACAGGAAAATGATGCATTGAAGATCAAGTTGGAACAGACTGTGACAAGTTTTGAAAGTAGAGAAAAAGCGCTGAAAGAAACCCTGGAAGAGCTGGAGGCTGAGAGAAGTAAGCAGCAATCCGACTCTGAGACACATTTCTTAGAATCGAGAAGTGTTAAGGAAGATTTATCGTCAGTATCAGAAAGGATGAAGAGAATGAGTGCAGCCCTTGAAGCTAAAGACTTGGAGATCATGTCCATGATTCAACAGCTAAAATCTGCAGAAGAGGAGAAGGCAGGTTTAGCAAATAGAATGGATGAATTAGATAGCTTGCGCTTAAACTTGGAGGAAAAGAACACTAGTTTGGAAAACAAACTTGAGCAATTATCCATTGCGCTGAAAACCAGCGAGGATGCACTAAGAGTGAAAAACGACCAAATTGATGAATTTCAGGTATTAAATGGAAAGGAAATTGCGGAAGTGAGGGAACAAGAGACGGCACAGAAAACTAAATTTTTGCAGCTACAAGAGAGGTGTGGTCATTTGGAGGCCTGTGTTAAGAGTAAAGAATCAGAATTGAATGACTTACGCTCCAAAGTAGAAGCGTGTGACAACTCAGCTGAAGTAGAAATTTCAACTCTGAGAGAGCAGTTGGTAACGAGGGAAAGTGAACTGAAAAGTAAAGAGATTGCAGAACAGGACCTTATGAGAAAGCTTGCGCACAAGGAAGACCAGCTTGAAGGTGCAACAAATGTGGCTCATGAGCAAAGTGAAAACTTAAAACAACTAGAGGCTCAGAAGGAAATTTTACAGATGGATCTAGAAGATAAGGACTCCGTTGTCGAGTCTCTGAAAAAAAAGATTGAAATATTGGAGGCATCAGTGGTACAATTCAAGGGAAGAATTGCTGAAAAAGAACAATCAAATGAAAAACTAACCGAAGAACTTTCTATTGTAACCAATAAACTTGCTGAGAGCCTGTCAAATGTGGAAAGTAACGAGAGAAGTATGAAGCGACTCAAACAAGATATCCAAACATTGGAAACTCAGTTGCTTACTGAAACAAAGAAGAGTTTGACGATGTCAGAGGAATTAGGGAACGTGCAAACAAGCCTTGAGAACACGCTGGTAAAGCTTGAAGAACAATCAGCAGAATTACATGAACTAAGGGAGAACAAGGCTGCCAATGAAGACAAAGTTTCCAAACTGCAGAGTCAACTTGAAGAGTTGGTGAAGACTCTTAGCAAAACAGATAGCGATAGAATGGAAGTGGAAGATCTGTTGAAAGCTGCTGAAAAGAGACTTGAGGTGGACACAGAGCAGATGGGGAAAGAAAGGGAATCGGTTGTCCATGAATGGAGAAAACTGCTGCGAGAAAAATCGGAAGAGTGTTCTTCTGCACTCGGACAACTTCAGAAGTCCAAAGAAGAGATCGACCGATTGAAAGACACAGTTGTCCATCTTGAAAATATTTCAACTTCAAAGGACCAGGAGAAAATGAAGATAGAAAGTTCCTATGAAGCTTTTATTGAGAAAACGCAGAAGAGAGAGGAAGAGATGCTGAGAGCCTGTAGTGACCTTGAAGATGAGAAATCATCATTACTTGAAAAGACAAGAGAATGCCAAGCAGCAATGGAAGGTTTGAAGCATGAGTGCAAAATTTATCAGCAAGATTGTAAAAAGGCATGCGAGCTTGCTGATTCCAAAGCTCAAGATTACAGAGAAGTGGTAGATAAACTTGATGATTCACAAAAATTTCTGCAGGAAATACGCCAGAAACTCTATCGTGCTGAAATTGCTCTGAAAGAATCCGAAGAGGAGAAAAAACAAGCAAAGAAAGAGAGTACCGATTTAATGAAGCAGAATACAAAACTGAAGGAAGACTTTGATACTAGAATTGAAGAGTTAAAGGAAGAGATCAGCGACAAGCAAGAGAGATTTTCAGATCTTTCTAGACGACTGGAAAGTAGTGAAGCCATGGTTAAAGCTTTGGAAACCCAAAAGTACGAGTTGGAAGGCATGCTAAAGCACTCTAAGGAGCAGTTTTCCTACGTTGAAGAAAGGTTGCAGACCTATGTTACAGATAGGGATGAAAAAGAAGTAATGGCAAGAAATGAGGAGGAAAGCGATAAATTTGTCGGAATCCTCCAAGAGCAAGTGCAGTGTTTAGAAGCCAGCAAATCTGAGCTGAAGTCGGAGTTGGACAACAAAAAGAACGAATTGAGCCGACTTCATGATGCTTATAACTCTATGGAAGCTGATTGCACATCAGCAATGGCCTTGAAAGATTCGGAGATTGAACAAAAGAACGAATTGTTAAGAGAAAAAGAGCAACTCGCGGTAAATATGGCTGAGAAAGCGCAAAAAGAAGTTAAATTCCACAACGACAAAGTTGGAGAGTTGGAAAATAATATCGCTGAACTTTTGTCAGATAAGCAGGAACTCCTTTCAGCTGTAGACAGAAAAACTGCAGAAGTGGATCAGTTGGCTGGGAAAAATGATGAACTGGAGCAAGCTTGTAGAGAACTGAGACGAGTGAAGGAGAGTGTGGAGGGCAGAGTTGATAGTCAGAAGGGTCAACTGGTAGAGATATCAAGTGAGAATGCTCGACTTGAGGAGGAAATGTCTGCCGTTAGAATGGAGCTTGAATCAGCAAAGAAACATTCAGAGGACCATAGGAGAAAATGGGAAGAGGATCAGACTCAGGTGAGGAAAATGGGTCCTTAAGAAAACCATGGCTAGGTTGGTATGTTTTAATAGAATTGATGTGTTACAGAATTATACGTTATTATACGAAGCAATTTTTATACGAATGATAGATGGGCTCCAATGGGTCGGTACCTAAAGGTTATAAGAGACTTTCACGGGCGGGTCACAGAAAATTACGATTGAAGCGAGTGCTTTGAGTTAATTCCTATAAGACTAACAATCATTTTGAAACTTCATTTTGAAGCCGAGAAAAGTATGTCTTGCTTTGGCTAAACGATTGGCGTTAGTGATAGCCCCTTATAGTGAAATTTTTGTCTTTTTCAGTTGACCCTTCTACATTTCTTAGTGTGAAATGGACTCTTCCTCAACGGTTACTAAGCTTAGAGATTCAGGTCGTGAAAAATATGTTTTAATTTTATTTTGCTTATGGTTGGTTTTTTAGAAGATCAAAGAGTTGGAAAAATTACAGAACTTGCTCTCTGCAAGATGCACTCAAGTGGAAAAACTTCAAAGAAGTCTCAATGATCAAACTGAAATATTAGCGTCTCTCAAGGAACAAGTCAGATCACTCACTACAGAACTGGACTCCGTCACAACTGAGCACAAACAATGCGAGCGGAAAGACAACAGTGCAAGGAATCTGCAGGAGCAAAAAGTGGATCTCGGGAGTCCTAGCTACCGCAAACTTGAGGAAAGGCTTGAAAAAGAAATGAAAGAAAAGGATGAATTAGCAAATACCGTCAAGGAGATGAGAGGCATTCTTGAACAAGAGAAGAAATGTGTCGAGAGGAAGAAGGAGGAACTGGCTGAAATGAAGACATTACTGCAGCTTACTGACAAGGAGAATGAAGAATCGAGCAAAGACAAGGAAACAAAATTAGTCGAACTAACATTTGCCTATGAAGATCTTAGGAAGAACCTCGATATCATGGAAAAGAATTTCGAGGATAAGTGTAAAGAGCTAAGGCAGGTTAAAGAACAGCTTAAGCAAACAGAAGAGGGGAGTGAGGAGATGAAGGAAGATTATGACAGAGAGTTGGACAGAGTAAAGTTTGAGTTGCGTGATGCCATCAATGATTGTAATCTGCTGAGAGAGGAAAACAAAGAGCTGCAGCAGAAAGCTGCCGCAAGTTCAGATCATTTTGCATGCGTCCGAGAGAAGAAAAAGCTTCTGCATCAGCTAGAAGAGGCCAAGCTCAGGTCTAATCAAGCAAAACACGCCCAGGAAAAGATCCAAAACGAGCTAATTCAAGCGAACCTTAAAGTTATTTCTTTTGAAGGTAGAGGAAATTGGACCGGTTCTGATGAAACAGAACAATTCAAAACACAAGTCAGCGAGCTTGACAGTGAAATTCAAAAGTGGGAGACTAGAGCAGATGAAAAAAACTCAAGTTGTGGTACTAACACCTGTAAAGATGAACAGATGAACAATCTCAGAAGTGAAGTATGTAAACTTCAAGCGGAAGTTAAGGAATGGAAAACCGTTGCAGACGAGAAGAAAGAAAACGCACAAAAATCTCTAGCTACCAGCCTGAAACTTGTAAACAAGCTGGAAATGCTCAGCCGGGACAAGAACGCTGCATCACCTTGTTCAGACACTGCTGGTGCTGGAGAAAGTTCAGATGGATCAAGTTCATTTAAACCTTCCAGAGTGAATTTATTGAAAGCAGATACTCCTCTCACGCCACTTGCTAAATCCTTATCCAACTTGGATATCGAGTCCACGACTGCCGTCACGTCACAGGCAGCTCCCGCAGAAGAAACAATCTCAGATACCAAGAAAAGAGCAAGAACGGGTGTGTGCTGTATTGGTACTGAACAATGTAAATATATTTCCAATAGAGAAGATTTGACGCTGAGTGTCGCGAATATTCCAGAAACTTATTGGTTTTGCTTTATTGGTCCTTGTGTTCGGAGAAGGGTTATTTTTAGTACAATATCGTCGATTTTATTTTGGTTGTAGCTTTTTTCTTCAGCCTCATTAATATTACCTTTGTCACAATTGTTCACGAGAAGCATTTCGCAAAGAGAACCAGTTAGCACCACTGGTTACATAAAACATTATAAAGAAAAAAATTTTCTTTAACTCCTCATAAATTCCTCGTTATCTCATCTATACTAACAAATTTTTTCCTGAAATACAGTGTACTGGTTCAAAAACTGGCACATTTATTTGGACGACAGAATCTGTTAAGGAAGAGCCGTGAAATGCTTTACCGTATTAACTGCTAAGGAAAACCTTTTTAGAGAAACATTGCTTATCTTTACATTTTTCTTGATATTCTCACACTTTAGCGGTAGATATAAGAATCGCGAAGAGACCACGTGTATCAAGCGGCAGTGAAGCAGACCGCCAGACTGCCACCATAAGGTTAAATACCCGCAGTGCAGCCAAAAAATCTGTTCAGCCTTCATTTAAAAAAGACGGGGTGAGTAAAACTGCTGATACTTGTCGAAACAGTGGTCGCGTTCCAGTATTTGAGATTCAGTAGTAAGGAATGACCGTCTTAACTGGGTTATCGCTTGATTTTCGGCAGACAGGGAACGTTAAGAGTGGGTTCTGATTGTCGAAAAAATTTAATGTTGACATCTGCTTTATATTCTCTTGATTTTTCCAGAAGGAAAATCCTGAGTCCATTCACGTTCTCCCATGGGGACAGTTTGCCCCTCCAGAGATGCCCCTGTCGCCACGGAAGACGAACACTGTAAATATACCACAGGGTTCGAGGTCAAAGATCCCTAAACCCGGGAGGAGTCAATTGCCAAGACCAAACAAACAAAAGATTCCTGGTAAGAAAAATATCACCAACAGGCTCTATTTGGGAATGGAATTTTATAATATCATTTTTCAGAAATTCATAGTAAATGACTTGGAGGGATATTCATATAAAATAAGGAGACGAGAAAACTACCATAAATAAACGTTTGCACGTTTTTTTGAAACCAACTTCACGATAATTGCTCGTTGAAAACACCCAAAAAAATATTAAGAAGGTTGTTGGAAGCTCGTGGAATTTTAAAGTCGAAAGAGTACTGACCGTGGATAGATTCAGCTTCGATATTCAATTATCTATTAGTGTATATACAGAACTTGGCGTCCGTTGTTAACGTCTTTTAGTAGTTTGTTTGCTTTTATTTTTCACGGGAAGTTTCCTAGTGAGCCTCACCCCTGTGCTTTAGAGCTCGCTTCTTAGTAAATCAAACATGGCCAACCGCTCATATAAATATCTTTTGCTTTTTAGGTGCCTCAACGCATCAGGCGAGTAGTCGTAGACGGTAGCCTTTGGGAGAAGCGGCAAGTAAATCTAAGTAATGGAATGATGGAAATTGCCGCATAGACGCATTGCCTCGCTTTCGTCTGATTCCTTATCGCACCTTTTTGTATTGCTCAAAGATGAATTTGTAAAAAGCTTTTTCTTGCTTGCTTTTGTATTATATTTTCACTTTTCAATTTTAATCTTAGTTATAGAATGTTCGAGTATGGAATGTTCCCCGCTAATGTTAATGACGGTTTATCTTGCAATGGAAATAAACAGCCGCTGTTTAGGTAGTTTTCTTGCTCAGTTTGAAAAATTAAGAACCCTGTCGAGCAGCATACCCTGCGTGCATTTGTACGATGGAAACTTAGGAAAAACTTTTTCCCTTCTAATTAGAGTAAAGTTAGCAGGTGGAGTAAAGGATGCGTACACACTAATAAAACTGTAGTTATAATGACAATGATAATAGTAATAATGATAGTAATTATGATAGCATTAACTGACCCCACCCCCGATAGGGCTTTTCAAGGCAAATGGAAACAAATTGAAACAATTATCGTGAACCGCAGTGTTCTAGAGTACCTAACTGGAACTGTAAAAATAGTAAAGATGAATGATTACCGTTTATTTATTCACGATAAGTAACGCAAATATCTCACCTGGATTTACAATCAGAAGAAGAGAATTCCAACCCGCTATACCTCTCGTGCAAAAAAAAATTAAACAACCTGTAATCAACAAGTGGGAATTTGTTTCATTCCATTTTCAGGTAGAGAAACGAAATAAATGGAAGTATCGACCTGTAAACGAATTAATTTCAAACAATGGTAAAGCTGTATACAGCTTTATCACTGTTTGCTAAAACGCAGACAAACACACAACCTCAAAAATCGAGTCGAGGTCACCTTACGTTTTTTCTCGCCGTGCAGGGTAAGATTGCATTCTTAAGTATGGCTTAATTCATTCGAACGATCACTGTCTTTCCGTGATAAAACCTCTCTGTGGTACATTTCGATCAGGCAATTTCCCTCTACACCATGTCGTATTAGCGTCTTAAAATTGGTACTTGGAGTACACTGCAATTCCGGCCTCTTTGTGTTTAATTCAAAACCATCAGCGTGTACAATTTTTATTCCAGTCTTTTTCGCCAACATACCAACGTAGACATCGTCCAGTCTAAAGAAAGGTACCATGGAAAAAGCTTCGACAAACGAAGCAACAACATCGCGTGATAAAATGTATCCAAACCCTGCGCAAAAATCAGGGTAATGTTTTCCTGCAAATTCTTCCAAACTTACTTTCCATTTTCCACTTCTGAGAATCCAAGGGTTTTTGTACTGTTTACCGGCGTATAACATTATGTTTGGAATTGTAGGGTTATTCAAGAAGGAAAGAACAGCTGGAGTATTCACGAAGACATCATCATCTGTCTTTAAAAGAAAAGAGAACCTGCAATACCTTATCGCCCATTCGAAGCCCATTTGTATCTTTCTGGTCTGATTCCAGTAATGGTCAAAGTAGTCAGCTCGCACAAGGTCTCCATAAACTTCATCTTCCCTCAATAAAAAGTTTGACAGAGGTTGATTTTGTACTTGTGCGACAAGAAAAACTGTCGTCCATCTTGGTTTGAGAGCCCTTCGGAAAGCCCATGTCAGACGTATATTATTCCTTCTTTGCGAATTAGGTGGAGCAGACGCTACAAGAATGAGAAGTTCGTAATGTTGTGCACAAATTCTCTTAGTTATAAGAGATGTTTTATGTCTGAATTGCAACGTTGAAAGATCACTTAGGTAGGGAGGTGCCGTAATTTGTTCCTGTTTTGCGTTTTCCAATTGCTGATCGTTTTTCTGAAGTTCAGCGACGTAAAATGTACCTGACTTTAATGCTGGAGTTGGTGCAGACTCGTGCGACCAACCGGAGAAGAAATGTATCACGAAAAGGCTAAATTGTAAACACGTACCAGTTGCCAAAATAAGTAGAAGGATTTTGGTCACTATTTTCTTCATTGATGTGTCAGGGGAAGGATACTAACAGAAAAAAAAACAAACAAACAACGATTTGGTAACTTTTCATCATTTGGCATAATTTCATAGCAACTCTTCAGAGGCACAGAAATGTTTTGATAATTAGGGCTTTTTAATTATCTTCAGACATTTGTTTGCTATGATAATTTTTCATTTCTCCAAAAGAAGTCGCTTGAGAATTCGAACTCAGGAGTTTTTTGATAACTGAGTTGTATGTTAGGAGCTCTAAACAAGTTTATGGTGCATGTGTTGACGTAATTACATGAATCGTATTAAAATATTTTATAAAGGAAAAACAATTGCGATTAATTTTCTGTCGATAAATTTCTATGGCTACTTCGAGTGTCAGGAGTAACTTTTCATTAAGGTAGGAATGCTTGCAAAGAAATTGGTTTAGAATTGAGGACTGTGATTTCGACGGGCAAAAGGCGGCGTAAGTTTCCGGATGATTATTTTAGCGGGTGTGCCATGCACAATGTTTAACAATAACGAACGCTGATTATATTTAGCCAAAACACAAGCAAGTAAATTTGCATGTATGTCGATAACATTACACTCACTCTTGATCATGATTAGGTCAGCTCCACGCTTTCCTGTGGTAGGCCTGTGGTGTTTACAACTGAGGAGATTCCGTTTTAACTCGTGAATTGCGCGTATGCGCAAGAGCGAGTTATAGATATGATGTGGAGAATGGCACTCGCTCGCTTGCTCGCTCGATTGGTCGATTCCTGTAGACTTTTTTTCGATTTTAGGCTTTTGAGTGCATTTGATAGTTTTTGGCGAGTAATAAACAAACGAAATGGCGACCTTTGTTGCTAAGAAGAGTGGTGGGGTGAAAAAGAAGCCGATGATAATCTTAAAAGAGTTTATATTTATTCGTTTTAGTTTCAACAAGCGGCGCCAGCGACTGGCAGGCGTACGAGGATTCACAATGAAATAAGAGAACAACCTTCATTTTTCATAAAATTGTAATTTACAATCCTTGAACTTGAAAACGATCCGGAGATTCACTAAAAATATCACTTACTCCGAAGCGCTCGGAGTTTGCAGGTGTTCAAAAGCTTTTTCTGTTGTGTCGTGAGATTAGGGACAAAATCGATCGTTATATTTCGTATCGTGTGTTTTTTCTGTGTTAAGCAACAAAAGGTGCCGGCGACTAACGAAATTACAGATTAACACGAAAATCAAATAACACCTAAACAAATAATTTTGGCTACCGATTTTCAGTGAATTTTTTAAAGAACAATTTTCTTTTAAATTTCAAGAATATTTGAAGATTCAAAATAAATATTACGCACTAAAATGCGAAAGTCATACACCACAAAATTGATAAATAGGCCTGAAATGAAATTCTATCTTGTTCTTGATTATACGTTGCCTAGCACGTGACCAAAATATACCCAGGCGGAAATCCAAAATGACAGTAGCAGTCTGGGCTTAGTTATATCACTCAAAACTCGTTCCCGTTTGTCTCATTTGATAAAGAGGGAATCATGAATGTTTTCATTAAGACAGTATTGCCTTGATTTTCCAATAATTACAATGATAGACAGTATATTTCACTTTTCACCTTCATTTACTTCCAACCTTTTCTTTCATTTAAGTCATCTGTCAATTCACGAGTTTGCTCACAGAGCACTTTGATCTTTTTACGTTGAACAGACGACAACTTCCGTAGTGGTAACCTCGTTTCTCCTCCAGACCAGAAATTGTAGGGTATGTGAAAGGCTTCTTTAATGGTTACGGACAGTCTGGCTATCATCAATCACTTTAAATTAATCATATGGCCTCGGGTCTGGAAAGTTGAATTTGAATTTGGATAATAGACAAAGGTGACAAGATCTGTTGTTGTGCGCTGCTTACTAGTTTTTATTTTAAAAATTAAAAAAATTAATAAACAAAAATCTTAAAGAAATTAATTTTTAAAGATTGTTCAAAAAATTGGATAATAAAAAAGTTGACAAGATCTGTTGCAAAAGATCTGCTCACTAGTTTTAATTTAAAAATTTTTCTAAAAAATCAAAAATTAAAAAATAAGTTAAAAAAATTTGGAAAAATCGGACAATAAAAAATGTTGACAAGATCTGATGCTGTGTGCTGCTTACTAGTTTTTATTTGAAAAATCAAAAAATAAGGATAATAAACAAAGTTGACAAGATCTGATGCTGTGTGCTGTTCACTAGTTTTATATTTAAAAAATTGATTAAAAATAGTGTGGAAATTTGAATTTTGAGCTGAAATATAGCGGCTCCACCGTAGTAAAATAAGAAGTCAAGAAGAAAAAATGAAAAACAAAATCAATAGAGGGAAAAGTGGATACATTCCTGCGATTTCGTTGGCTTTTATAGCGGAACTGATCTGATTGATGCTACTAGACCACTGACTCTTTCGCAACTTACTGCTAATTAGAGTGAAGAGCTTACACTAGGCCTACAATCTCAAACATTTTACTTGGAGTTTGGCTATCTCCCCTCCCTCTCTTTGTCAGTCTGCTAGGTCGCATGGACACACCGGCAAAAATTGCAAGAGCACCATATTATTTCGTTCTTTAGTTATGTTTGTATGGTGTAGCAGGTTAATGTGTTTTTGAAGACCCTTGTTCTTAAAATCGTAAAAGATTTTGGCCATTTTTTGCGGTTTGTCAAGATGAGAAATGCCTTTCGCGGGAAAAGCGTTTTCAGAGGATTCTTGGTTTCTGTGTAACTACTTGCTAAAGCAAACTAGACAGTGAAGATTTAAAGTGTTTTATTTAGACGTAGATAATCAGACAACAAGAGAATCCTGATACATTCACTTTTGTAAGTTTAAGTGATCCATAATCATGTTATTTTAACTGAGCTCTCCACTGAGTCAAATAATCGTAAAAAAACCACAAGAAATCAGATAAAACAATATCCCGGTGAGATCATCCCAACGGTTTAATTGGGAATCAAGTCATCAATTGATTCACCTTTCTCCAATCTCTTCTCCATTTCAATCAACAACTGGACTCCGTCAATCACGGCTTGAACTTGCTCAACCTCCGACTTTCCCAGCCTATCAGCATTGGAAATGTCAAAAGTTCCTCCCACTGAAGCGGTGTCTACACCTCCCGTGCCACGTTTCTGTAGACGAAATTTCTTCAGGATGCTATTCAGTCTCTCTTCGTCTTTACTTAACTCAGGGATTTTGAGATGTACGCCTCCTCGGAGCCCTGTGCCGAGGTTTGAGGGACAAGTCAGGATAAAGCCGAGATGCTCACTCCACATGAAACTGTGACCAGCTCCTTTGATCAGTTGTTCGACCTAATGAATAAACAACGACAACAGTGGAAGAAGTTTAATGAATGGATGAGCAACAGAAGCCAAGCCAAAAGTTCCTGGAGCATCTTCGAAAAACGCAGACAGGAGAAGCATACTTTGTGACCTGGTGTTTTGCCAATTCATGTTTTAGGAAAAGTGTTGTGATCTTTTAACTGCGTAAGTTCCTCTCTCTGACTTCATTCCAAATAAGCTTATTGCGAAGGAGTGATTAAAATCAATATTTTTGTGGAAAAAGAGCCGAGACGAACGGTATTGAGCTACTTTCCTTAGCGGTGTCTTGAAACTTTTGGCAATGACGATAGATATGCTGAACAAGCTTCATGGCACCAGCCGCGAGTGAGAATGTGGACAAATTTTTGATATTGTATGGATAACGAAGTTAAATGTTGAGAAATCTCATTTCCATGTTATCAACCTCAGAGGCCAGTTTGTAAATTCATTTAGCCGTAACATGAGCCTTTATAAATTTTCAAGCTAGGCCACTCGTTTTCTTTGTAATATTCGTTACTTTCCGACCATTTGTGAGGAGTGGCTTTGTTTTGAAGCTAACTAAGGTACAGGAACAATCCTAACGACAAAGCATGAACTCACAAACGAAGCTCAGCAATGATATATCACACTTGTGCCCAGTCTGCGAATACTTCGATATCAAAAGCATGCAACATAGTGTAAACCAGAAAAGATTAAGATAGGAGACTCCACTTGTCAAATGGCCTCGTGTCGAAGGAAATCTCTCTCAAGTTAATTTTCAACTCTGGGTATTTGTTCATTGGATGTATAGTTACATCTAGAACGCTTTTTGTCAGGATGTTTCCTTCCTATGCTCTGTCGGGGCAAACAGAATTACCTGATTTTAACCTCCTGGGCCCAGTTGCATAAAGGGCGGATACCCGAAGGAGAAATCGCTATCCAGCGGATAAGTGATAGAGAAACGTATAGCGCTATCCACCAGGTAGAGATTTATCCAGTGGATAGCGTTATCTGACCTTCGAACAACCGGGGCCTGGTTTTAACTCCAGGGGTCTCTCAGAAATATCTATGAAGAGGGAAGGCGGTGGTAGGGAAGAGGGTAATTCAATATCGCCTTATTTAATCTCTTGAATAAACCTGGTTTTGGAATTTTTAAATGTGTATCATGATTCCTTTAACTTGATTCACGACTAGGATAACAAGTCGGTCAAATTACCTTATTCAGTCCAGTACAGAAGCGTTCAAACACAGCGGCCATATCTCCTCCCTTCTGCATGGAAATCACTCGAGTGTGATCCTCTTCATTGATCCAAACCAAAAAGTTCTTCTTTTCATTGTGCCAGATACCGCGAGCATCGGGCCAGTCACGTGCCATTCCAGCACACGTCAGAAGAGGAGACACTGGTTTGTCGAACAAGAAGTGGTCCTCGATCAGTTGTTCCTGTTCAGCCTCTGTCATTTTGTTGAGTGGATAGTATCTGGAAAAGGGATTAAAAATTTTAATTCAAAAGAAACAGTCAAAAGAAGGTAGACAAAGCTGAAGCGATTAATTGACATCCATAGTAATTTTCATAGTGTTTTTCGCTCATGCAGTATCAAGGGTGTAGACGGGGGGGAATGGGATGGAAGCTAAGTGGATTGGGGGAGAGGAGTCCTATGCTGCAAGTGCCTCCTTCCTTTACAAAAATAATGATATTTTAAAATTTCATCCAACAACCTGATTCAACTGCGAATGCTAGTTAAACGTAACAATAGTACGGCCCATCGCCTTCTCTTAACAGACGCACTAAAGACTCCTACCGGCCTTCCTGAGTACTGCACAAGAATTGTTACCGGTAAATCGCTTTTTAGACGATATGTGGCACCAGAGAAAAGGATGAGAAATAACTCTGTCATGCAGCTATTAAACGATCCAGTTATTTTGCAGTAAATTAGTGAAACGTCGTGTCACATTTTGTGTTCTTCTGAGTACGACATGTCTGTCTCTCGTGGTGTCGTTCTTTGTTTTGCTAAATTCAAAGGCTTATGCTTATCTGTTTGCAAGGGCCATAAAACACTTGGTTCAGAAGATGAAACTGATGCACAGGACACTGGACACTGGAAAATGGACACAGGACACAAGTGTTACTTTGATTTGAGCCATCGTAGCTGGGATTCACTTCTGTTAAAAAAAGAACGACTCTTTGACTGTCAATGAGTTTTTGATAATTGTTGCTCTCCGATTTGTCTACCTTCCTCATGTCCTGGATTTTGGAATATTCGAGGACAAACCCCAAATGAAAATACATACTTTCCTTTTAAATCCCCATCCAGGTTATTCAGGGCGTCAACCACAGCCTTCTCAACTCCTCTTCGCTCAGCACGTGTGCAGTGTGGTGGCAAGGAAAATCCCCGGATGGAGCGCCCTGTACGAACACGTGACGATAATACATAGTTCTCATCAAGTTTGCCGCCTTTTATTTTCGTGAAATCGAGGTCGGTCTTGTGCTGGTCGGTTTTCTTGTAGCCGCCATGACGCATCTCTATCACTGGATCCAATAACTCGGCAAACACCTGATACGATTCTTCATCTCCTGCCACACACCCTACTGTCATGATGAATGGATGACCTAATAAAGAATAAATAGGCACAGTGTCGATTAAGATCGCTTTCTACTATAACCTAGATACCTTCTCGCAAATGCAGATTAAAATCTGACTTTTCCACCTGAAACCTTGAGCTAGAGGGCCTTCCTTAGACTGCGGAACTTTTCATCCGATGCCATCAAAAACTGTAGTACAACCTCTAGCACGTTTTAGGAAGCAGCAATAGACTAACAGTACCCTTTTTAGACTTGATTTTTTTATTCTTTTGAATTTCAATTCATTTATTTCTTGATTTTAGAAATCGCCATTTTCAATATTCTCGCCGGATTGTAATCTATAACTAATTTTGATCACACGCGAATTGCCTACACACATCACGTGACCGAATGTGCTCAATTAAAACTTGGGAATATCCGAGGATAAACCCCAAGTGATATTTAACAATTTTCAAACCTATAAGTCTTCCTAAGTCTCTTGTTACAAAAGGAGGAATATTCTATAGCTGTTGGTAAACATTTTTTCAGGCAAGTTGCAAAAATGTGTGAATAATAATGAACACAATAGCCTCTACTTAACCCCAAAAATAAGCTCGTATATTTGTCCTTGGACATTGTTTGTTCTGAGAAGAGAACAGATGTTCGCGGACAAATATCCGGGCATAATTTGGGCCAAATGGAGGCTATTATTTATTCAACTTTTATCAAGTCAACTCGAAGTAATCCCAATGGCCAAGTAGAATTAAAAGGAAATACCAAAAAAGCTGCAGTGAGTGCATCAGCGACCAATTCAAGAGAGGTCTCTATTCGGTTGAAATGGCGGTGTAAAATTCTTATTCAAATCATAGAGCATGGTAACTATCGACATTCACCCACATTGAATGATCTCATTTAAGCGCAACAGACAGAAAGGTTATATTACGCACTTTGGAAACTCATAATTCCAAGATTTCGGTAACCAGTTGGAACTTTTCCTTGATGACTGCATGCGTTAGACTTTATCTTCAAGTTATGTAAGTTTTCCTTATTTAACTTAGCCTGCACATCTCAATTGCAGCAATGGCATAAGTGAGGTGGACATTCCAATATTGCCCCATAGCCAATTATAGAGGTTAAAGTGACCAAAACAAAAGACGATGATTTGAGGTCAGAATCTAATGAAAGGTGCTTCTTGTATGATGCAAGAATGAACACTATGCATGACAAGAATGCAGAAGTTCCTAAAAATGCACTCAAGAACATTGATCCAAATATGGGTCTCTCGCAAATGGCATGTCAATCAGCCTTAGATAATAGACAGAAAGATTTACAAGAAGTATTTTTTACTGACAGTTATAACATTGCAACGAACAGATTTAAACTGAAGGATCACAAGCCGTCAAAACACCCCAGCCCTGTGGCCTGAAAAGCGATAATCACCTCTAACAGCTTCAAATTTCAGCAAGGCTGCGAAAACCGCATTTGAAATAGCAAAACATTTTTACTTTTACATCACTTGGGACAATATCTGAATTATCAAAGCCCTGTCAACCATCACATTGTCACTAGGCTCTAATAAATTAAGAACACCACTTTCCCTTGTAATTCGGCTCCCTGTCTGATACTTGTCCCCGCCACAAGACTAAAATTAATGACACCTGAATATTTGGAGTGACACCAACAAATACTTTCCACGCTAGCATTGCAGATGGCTGCTGTACAAATATTTCATTGCAAGTCAAAATAATTCTCGTAGTATGGTATTCTGAAAACTTTTGAGACAGTTCTTGAGATGGAAAGGGAAAGAGTCCATAGAAAGAAAATACATCCATGCAATTACGTTCGCAAAACGAGACTCACGCTAATTCCAAATCTGTCTGTAAGATCTTGTACAGGAAAATTCCGCCTTCAATCGCAATAAGACAAGATAGAGATAGGTTAGTGTCCATGAAGGTCCTGGTTTATTTTTGTTCATATCCATCTGATTAGACTAACTTTATTAACAATATTGCATTTTTACTGTCTTTCGGTTTAATATAATCATAAAAGCTTATTACAGCCTCATAATTGGGAAAGCCAGTGTAAAAGGCACGGCTGTATCGTCACCTTTAATATGTCGAGAGAAAACTGGCGTGCAAGCAAAGCTTCCTTTCCTTTTCCAACTGCACTACCTTTGCCTCGAAAGGGGACACTAGCTTTTCTAGCATTTCAGCTCTGCTGAGTTAATTTAGCACCATAGCTTTAGGATCCACAGGAGGATCAGTCATACTCTCATATGTAGCAGCATCTGGTGAAGCTAAAACAGCATCCTTTAAAGCAGTTTCTCCAGTTTCATCACAAAATTCTACATCTAGTTCAACAGTTTTTAAACTTTTAGATGTTAAGGGTATAAAAAGCCTACTTCTTTATTTACTTTTTATTTTTTACTTTTTTTTTTTTTGGGGGGGGGGGGGGGAGATAGTTCAGAACTTGTCGCTAATTCCCAGCGGCCTATTAAAGTTTTTCGAATGTCTTCTTTTCGAAAATACTCTGAGGAAACCATAGTTGAAATACCATCTTTCCCATGCTGACGTTTGATGAGATTGCACCATCGGCGTCTTTGTTCGAATCCTTCCGAAACTTGAAGTGAAAACGCGTAGGCAAGCCATTGGGGCCATAAAATGCATTTGAACAAACGAAAGCGGCATACTGTTTCCCTCTCTTTTTGGAAGGATTAGCTCTATCTAGATATCGGCTTTCCATAAAAGTCAAACAAATTTACCACCCACTTGCGACTTTCACCAAAATCACTCACAGAGACCTAACACGCGGTTACATATCCAACAACTTAAGGGTTGTACCTAAATCTTACCGGCTAGAGGTACGCCTGTAGAATAATAGTGACGAGTTTCCGAGTCGGATGATTATCGGAAATTGTCGGTTATTCCAATATGGCGGACAATTCAGGTAATACCATATGCGATTTACCAACAGTTAAGCTTTTGTACTTTGTACTTTGCACTCTTGTAAAAAAGTGATTCCAAGGTGTTTAATACTAATTTGGAGTGTAGAAAAGTCGATTACTAAATATGCAAGCTACACCTCTAGCCGGTTGTATTTTTTAAGCCTGTTGAGATCCTATGGGCTAAAGGTACAAGACAATAGAAGTGTCACCTTGGGAATCTTTCTAACCAGTAGCACTATGTCAAAGGCGTTATGGTGGCGATGCTATTCACAAGTTTCGTTTACCTTTGCAAGCGTGGGTCTCAGCGGCTACAGTGTTAAGTTAGAAACTCTGCTGATCAAGAAACTTAAGATCGACGAGGGTGAAGGAAACAGCCCTACAAAATTTAGCGAAATTTCCTTGAATTAAACTCTAAAATGTATTTTTTACATGTAAAGCATGTAATAGTGTTCATGTCTGGTTCAATCACGTCGCTTGACTGTTGGCAAATCGCAAATGGTATTCCTGAAATTCCTTTACTCGAATGGTCCGCCATATTGGAATGGCCGACAATCGGGTGATTATCAGCCATTGCAATATGGCGGGCAATTCAAGTAAGTTAATTTTTATTCAACTATGCCATTCAAGAAAAATTGACTGTCTGACGAGTAAATTTTTCTATAGAATCTTAGGGGGCTTATAAAATACAACCGGCTAGAGGTACAGCTTGTATACTTAGTCGACTTTGCCCAATTTTTATTACGGTTTGTTCAACATTTTTTTTTTCTGCACTCCAAGTTGTAGTCTTACACACCTTGGAATCACTTTTTATAAGCGTACATTTACATTTATTTCTTTTAATTGGTCTTGTACCTTTAGCTGGTAGGATCTTAGGAGGTATAGCAGATACTACCGGCTTGAGGTACAGCTGGCATATTAAGTCGACTTTGCCTAATTTCTCATATGGTTTGCTTCACATTTTACTTTTCTGTGCTCCAAATTAGTCTTAAACCCCTTTGAATGACTTTTTTCAACAATAAGTGTGATTTTATTTATTTTTATTTGGTCTTGTACCTCTAGCTGGTAGGATCTCAGGGGGGTTAGAATATACTACCGGCTGGAGGTACAGCTTGCATACTCAGTGGACTTTGCCCAATTCTTATTATGGTTTGCTCGACATTTTAGTTTTCTGCACGCCAAGTTGTACCCTTACAGTCTTTGGCATGAAATTTTTTTTAAGAATACACTTGAATTTTTTTTCTAAATTTCCATCCTCTAGCTGGTAGGATCTCAGGAGGCTTAGAAACGACTACCAGCGGGAGGTGCAGCTTGCATATTTAGTCAACTTTGCCCAATTTTTAGTGGAGTTTGCTCATTTTACTTTTCTTTTTAATAACAGCAATTTTTATTAAAAAATACAATAAATAACAAAGGCACAGGTTAATCTCATTTATAGAATTGTATAAATTCTATATATATATATATAGTAGATGACCATTCTATATTTTCAAGAATAACTTGCCTTAAGGTTTTCATACAGTGATACATGCTGTTAAATATTACTGAAAATAGAAAGTGAAAATGTCAATTTGGTGAATTAAAATCATGTTATCCTATGACTACCTAACTTAAGCAGAGTATCACATGATGACAAACTTCAGTAAATCTGATTGACTTGTTCAAGTCTAAAATGAATTTCAAATCAAAGTCATCTAAAGCTGGTTACATTTGTATTGAAATAAATCCACCACCAAAGAAAATACAAATTAGGCTAGTTTAAAATTTATTTACGTGAAATTCATTTAAAACATAACAATGTCAACGGTTTCAAGCTTATTTCAAACATAAGCAGTCCTCTGGCTGGTAGTGTTTTCTGAGTAATGCAAGATCCTACTAGCGAGATGAACAAGACTGCAAAGCATGAAAATATGCGTGGAGTGACTCCACAACAGTGGAAGACTAACATGGAATGTAGAAAGATTTTTCCATAAATCAAGAAGTGAATGAAACAAGCTAAATTTACTGTAAATGCATGAAGTACCTCTAGCCTGTAGTATTTTCTAAGCCACTTAAGATCCTACCGGCTAGAGGTGGACGACCAAGAAACAAGAAGATGTTCATGAAAAAGTCATTCTAATTTAGTGTGAGACTAAATGAAATGCCAAAAAGCAAAATTCAGAGCAAACTGTGATACAAAATTGGGCGAAGTCGATTGAATATGCAAGGTGTACCTCTAACCGCTAGTACTTTCTATGCCTCTTAAGATCCCACCAGCCAGAGGTACAAGACCAAATAAGAAAAATAACTGTAAATGTAGCCTTGTAAAAAGTAATTCCAAGGAGTGTAAAACTACAACTTGGACTGCAGAAAAGTAAAATGTGGAGCAAACCAAATTAAAAATTGGGCAAAGTCGACTAAGTATGCAAGATGTACCTCTGGCTGGTAGTATGTTATAAGCCTCGTCAGATCCTACCAGCAGAGGCACAAGACCGAATAAAAATAAATAAATGTATACGTATTCTTCCAAAAATTGACTCAAAGGAGCGTAAGACTAATTTGGAGCGCAGAAAAAGTAAAATGTGAAGCCAACCGTGTTAACAATTGAGCAACGTTGACTAGGTATGCAAGCTGTACCTCTAGCCGGTAGTATTTTCTAAGCCTCCTGAGGTCCTATCGGCTATAGGTACAAGAAAATAGAAATTTCATGTTGGGGATCTTTCCAACCAGCAGCACTATGAAAAGGGCATTATAGTGGCGATGCTATTCATAAATTTTGTTTACCTTTGCAAACGCAGGTCTTAGCAGCTACAGTGTTGAGCTAAAACTCTGCTGATCAAGAAACTTAAGATCGACGAGGGTGAAGTAAACAGCCACTCAAAATTTGGCGAAATGTCCTTGATTTAAACTCAACAATGTATTCTTTACATATAAAGCATGTTATAATGTTCATGTCTGGTTCAATTAGTGTTGGTAAATCGCAAATGGTGTTACTGGAATAATTCGCCACATTGCAATAGCCGACAACTTCAAATAATCACCCGACTACACGCATCTTTTTTTTTTTTTTTGCAATTTTTTGGTTTATAGCCGTATTCAAAATCAGAAATAATAGACCTAATCGCCCAGCGAGTTCTCCTTGACCATTTTTTAGTGCATTGAAGTACGATTAGGCGGCCAAAAGGTGTCCCCATTAAGCAAGGGGCCAAAACGACCATGTTAGATCGACGTGACGTTGAAAACTTCAACGTGTGAAGACACGTCGGCAACTATGGTGGAGAAAGGAGAATCTAGAAGATAGGACGAACATATTTTGTGACCGAAGCGCCATATGATGTTAGCTACAAGAATAATACGCATATACCGGGTATTTCTATATACTACTGTCCAAAGGATGTTGCTGTATGGCCAAATGGTCGCGTTTCGATCGTCGGCATCGAGGAGATTTTACTCTTGAATGTCGTCGGCCTTATGCTCTGTACCGGCTTCGAAGACGGCTGTTACGAACACATACCACTAGACAAGTCAGGGGAAGATAATCAATGAATGCAGCTAAAGAGAATGCTGATTAAGGAGTCTGTTCCCACACCGTAAACGATTGTTCAACATTCTTTTCGGCTGACAGTCGCAAGCGAAGAATGGTGAGCTCCTTATTTTGTTTATTTCACGTTCTTGAGATTTACTCATACTCCTTGTCTTTCCACATGATCACATTTGCGCTTTTCTTATCGCATGAAAATCCTACCAGTTGTAGTTTCCATCGTATTTTGTTACCAGAAATACATAATTTGTGATAAAGTTCAAGGGTATAGTTCTCATTATACATTATACTAGACAAAGGTAAAGTTCTCATTGTTATACAGATTGGCCGCCTTTTCCTTCACGCTCTCACAAAGGTTGTTCTCTTCTATAAGGTGCGCCATGACGTCTTTTGGTGATTCCTAGATCTCCTCCGGTTTTTCCATGCCAACGCGGCCCTGTGTTTAAAGGGGTTTGGTTTTACTCCCAAAGTATCCAAACCCTCATATCCGATCGCATTTGTCTCCGTTTCGTCATGCTTTTGGCGCGCTGATTCTTTCGCTTTCCTTGTTCATTGCAGATTTTCGAATAAATCAGCTGCGGCAACAACATACTTTTGAAATTCGCGGTAATTGTAAATATTTCAGTTACAGTCGAGTGTTTTCCTCGATTGGGTGTTGTAAGTTTTGACAGCCATTGTTATACAGACGTGTACGAGAGCTCTCCCATCAAAGACAACAAGTAGTTTTCAAACTCAAAAAGCTGAAGGTTCCTGTGAAGCGATTTCAAAGTTGAAACAGGTTTTGTTTCAGAAAAGAGCAAGTTTTTCATTGCCTTCCGTAAAAGTTGGGAAGGCCGTTTAGATTTTCTGAAAATCGCCTATGAAAGCGGCCCCCATACTGAAAAATGGCCAATTTTTGCCCATTTTCAAGCGCAAAAAGCTATTCCTTAAACTGTTAAAAAACAAAATTGGCATCTAGTAAGAATTTTCATTGTAGGTGTTTTTTGACTTATTTAAACTTTGAAAATGAATGGAAATCATATATTACCATAAGCCATTTCAGTAAAAGTTATGATAGGCCAGTTGATCCTTTCTTATTCTTTTTGGCGGTCTTATCTTACAGTTATAAGTCAGCACGCTCGACACCTCTTTTTCTTAGAGGTGACTAAAGGTGTAAACATGTAGTACTTTTCATCCTCAACACTGAATTTATAAACAGGAAACTTATACGAATAGCACGTAGTTCTCTTGGAGGCGGTACCTTGGGTACGCCCTTACTTCTCTGAATTTTCTGTTAATTGTGTCGTTATTTAGCAGTCTTCAAGGACTGTTTTCTCTTAGGATATCTCCTCAACTATGATTTTAATTCTGTTAGTAAGTTTATTATAATTTTATATTGTCAATCTTGTTTTTGTTTTCCGTGAGACTAAGAAATTTAAAGAAGAAAATCATTTTGTAAAGCGTAAACATCTCAAAGGTACCTCTGCTAGTTAAGTGTAAAAGCATGACGATGGTTAAAGATTGACAGCTCAGTAAGTGTCACCTTTATAAGCGGTGACCCGCACTTTCCTCGAGAGATCTGAGCGTAGGTAATAAATTGTATGTAAGAAAGAGAAAAATAAAGAAAACTTCAACTATATTAAGAGTGTTAGAAATATACTTCTAACAATACCTCCTATATCCACTTAGTTATCGACTTAAATTTAGGATACAACCTTCTTCTTCAAAAAGCCGCGCGTGAAAGTTGAAGTTATAACTCCTGGAAATCAGAACAGTAAGTTTTATCAAGCCTAATGAGCTAATTTGGACCCTTTCTTCCTTATTCAAGGCATTTCACGGCAAGCAAACTTTCAAATTTGCCGTTTCAACGGTTATGAATAGTTAATGATGTCCAGGAATTCTGCGCGATGACTTGATCATTAATCTTGATCGAATTTTGCCGCTACGTTTCTCTTTTTTCTTCCACTTTTTTTGCTCTCTTATAGTTGTCAGATATTTATGATAGAGTTCGGATATAACGCGCGCTGTCATTGGTTGAAAGAGCGTGCTCTATGAGAGTATAGAGCATAGAGCTGAGCTAAAGCTGTCACGCCATCTGCCAAATTGTACCATGTTCGACCTTTTCCGGGACTTCTTTTTAGCTTTTTTCCGATAATTGAAAGTGAAGTTTCGGAACAAGCGAGCCGGCAAGTAGCAACAGAGGAACCAAATAAAAGTTTGTAAACATACCAGGCGCAGTAATTTACGTTATTAAAACGTGAGCAGATGAGAAAATCCTCGAAGGAAAAACAAAATAGACATTCCGAGTTTTAAAGATTAATTCACGCTCAGTTAGATTGCAAGCTTACGTACGGAAATAAAAATCAAACACAGCGAACACTCATAGAGTATTTAAAGTTCAGTGTTCAAAAACAAAACAGAACAAACAGATATGATGAAAAATATAACAAAACTGGCATAACTGTTAAAATTCATTCTAATCATGACGGTGTCTGAGCGAATATGATCATGCTGAAGTCCATCGCGGCTCGCTCATCATGGCGATCTCCGGTCATCACGGTAAAGCAAGTCTCAGAAACTATATCGGCCGCCCTTCGAGTGAAAAAATAAGAGCTTGCTCTGATATCCTTTCCGATGCGTTGAGTGGAAAGTCACTGCAGCCGAGTTTTGCCGTATCCGAGCGATCCTCATGTTTCGGTGAATTCGGCTGTCGTTCATTCAAAAAACACTCGCCTTGAACAGTTTGTTTTCTACCTTGTCATGTGAAAAAACTCGCGTGTTTTTATGAGCCATAATTCGATTGAAGTTCACTGAACATTTCACTTTAAGATTCTGTATTAGAGACTTAAAAACTTCAGGCAAAAGTGTTAAATTCGACTTGCCGAACTATTTTAGTTTGTGAACTATCGTAGAATGTGAACTTTGATCGTTTTTGAACTTTGATGGTTTGACACTTTTGACAGCTTTGGTCTTGTACAGCCAATCAGATTATTTGAACCGTTCTAACAGGAATTCTGATTGGCTTATTGTAGTGTGCTTAATGAGAGTATAGAGCATGCTGACGACACTGTTGTTCGCTTTGGAAAAAAGTTTGTTTTGAAAATTGAAAGTAATGCTTGGGTAATTTAACGGATTCTTTATTATGAAACAAATAGAGAAGCCTTGACTGTGCTCTGTTCTGTTATAAAACACTTAAGAAGCGGCTAGAGCACTCAAGAAGTGGGAAGAAACACGAGACTACGTCTCGTGTTTCTCCCTACACTTCTTTCGTGCTCTAGCCGCTTCCTGCGTGCTTTATAACAGAACAGAGTACAGTCAAGGCTTCTCTATTTGTTAAATAGAAGCCAGTTTCGCTTTCACACGCAGTTCTTCTCGCGCGCGCGAGGACTGGTTGAATAAATTGTTATCAGTAAAGGGCTAAAATCAAGTGTTGATGCCGAACAGAAAAACATTTGCAAACATCAACAAGAATGAGGTTAGTTTCCTGGCTTACCTGGATTATCCACACCAGTCTGAATAACGTCGTCCAAAGTGAATCCATTCTTGGTGACCTTTCCTCTCAACTTTTCATAAATCTCTGGTGTTAGGGCTTTAGCCATGTAGTTGTTATGCTGCGAAAGATCAGGGAAGTCATCCTTGGCAGGAAACGTCTTATAAGCTGCCTTGATTTCACTCATAATGAAACGCAGAACGAAAATTCTCACAGAGCAAATATTGTGTCAGTCGCCTTTGCTGTTGACTAGCTTTAACCAAGAGTCCAATTAACCAGTGTCACGTATAATGTCAAATTCAATTATCGAATTTAATTATTACTTAATTAATAGAACTAAAGCTCAACCGGGATGCATTGTGGGGGTTGTGGCCATTCTCAACATTTTCTGTAATACAGAGAAGGAAAGCATACCGTGTAAGTAATATCATTTGACTAGATCTTCGCTACCTTGATCGAGACCCGACTTTTTATACCCTCATCTATTTTCTTTAGGTGTCTATCGTCTTTTTGCTACGTATTTTCGTGGTTTCACTCCGTCATGATGTGTGTATTTTCACTCCGTTGAAGTTTACTCCGTCATGATGTTCGTATTTTCGTCGTTTCACTCTGTCATGATTAAGCTATGGTAAAGAAGTCGTCCTGCAGGGATGGAAAGCCGCCATATTGTATAACTTACTAGATCAATTTCAAAAACATGGAATGAGCAAAAGACAGCTTTAGGATTTGGCAAGAAAACAAGCCGTCGCAGATGCCCTGCTACACAGTAATTTCGAGGAAAATCAAACAGAAAGCTCCTCTCGGCACTTTGGTGACCGTCAGAAGGGGAAACGATTTCAATCGATTGCAAGCCTGATCCCATGTAAGTTTTTAGGTGACCCTTCTCTCCCAGTGAAATCAAATTCAGATGTACATTTAACCCAAATTTCATCTTGGTATCCTCTATTCCTTAAGCGTATTATGAAACACTGTATGTTTTTATCAAAAGTGGAGCGAGACGAATGTTTACACAGTAGGCGTTGCACTTCTCCTCTTACGAATCCTTTCTTTGTGCCTAGTGAATGACACAAATAATCAAATATTCGAAGGTCTCCGTCTTTTTGTAATGCGTTCGGACGTCAAGGGTCTATTTCCTGTTCAACCTCTCACTTTCGCTCACTTTTGCTTTCAAGAATATTTCTGAGTCTGATATTTCAGCCGTAACTAGTGATTGTATCGTATTACAAATTACAGCGGTTATTTGCCCGTCTTGAAGTTTTTCATGAGCTGAAACGAAAAACGAAAGGACCTTTGGGAATACTGAGAAAATCAGTAGGTGGCAGAAGCCATGACGCCATGACGGCTTAGGACAACAAATCACAACAACAACGGCCGTGCACTCGGACTAAACCAACGTGCACTCGACTTCTGTTTTAATAAATTTGAAGCACATATACTGAGGTTTACCGTAATATATTTTTTTCCAAAACAAAACCGTACTTATCGCAAATTGACATGATAGTGATGGCACGTGTGTCCTCAACCGCCCCAAATAAGTCATCGCAGCTCGACTTTAAATTGTGATTTCTCCCACACATTTCAACCGACGCCATTCAAACTGCCACGATATGAAGCCCTTTTTGTGATACATCAAGTGAACTGGGTCTCTAGGATCATAAATATCACAGAAAAAAAATGCGGGATTAAAATGCGGGGCTAGCCAAGGTTTTTAAAAATTTGACTGTGACGCCATGTTTCATGACGTCATGGTATGGACAAAACTGTCTATGGCCCGGATTGTATTAGCCTCCGTCATTAAAAAAAAAAAAAAAAAAACCTAACAGTTTCCCAATTCTTTTTCTGATATGTTTTCCAGAGTTCTGGTTTCGTTTATAGTTTTTGCCCATCCATAAAAACTTCTGCATTTCTACAAATTTCTTCTATTGGTTCGACATCGAATATGATATTAGTATGTTTTGACATTAAATTGATATTGACCCTACAATGCAGATACAATTAGAAAACCTACGTGTCTCAGCAGGCTTACACTAGACCAGTGTATGTTTTGGGTTCTTCGTTTTCTTGCTGAGCTAAACAATGAAACACTTTATCCTTGCAATTGTTCTCGCCGCCATCATGTGGAAAGTAATTGTTTAGTTTTGCTGTTCTTACATTTGAAGGGAATCTGTCTTCAATATATTGGCTAATTCTCGAATGGCTTTTGTCAGAATGATTAATACAAAGTTTTACTTTAAATCAAGCCTTTTCCTCATTAATGCAACTTAAAGAATATTTTGAGGAAGAACTCCGGGTTTTACACCTTAACTTAAAATTTACTTCACATCGAAAAGACATGGCGTTTAGTGTAATAATTACTTAGATTTTTTCTTGAAATGGAAGAAAAGTAATTTTGAGAAGATTGAACCACAATGTATAACAATTGTTTACCCTTTGTAGGGTGGAATATCAGGATCCTCGAACAGGACCAGGAAAGGTAACTTTAATGAAAAATATTACTGACTTTATGAAAAGTTCTTGGTGGGTAGATCAAAAAACGGCTCGTAATGCAGTTGAATTGGATATGCGTATCTTATAAAGAAAGAATTAACTTTGTAGCATTCTCAAAGCGCAAGGTTCCAAGAAGACCTTTCACTCTCAGCTCATTATCGTTCAGTTTTCTTGGGCTGATGCCCCTCTAAACCAGGTGTGATCGTCGTAATTTTCATTGAGACTCACGCGTATGATTTCAGCCCAAATTGCACTCCACTCTGTTCAATTACCATTATTTATTATCCGTCATGTTTTTTTGCTAGCGTGCTATTAGTCCAAACATGAACCGTGACCGAGTATGCCCCAGCTAAAACTGGGGAATATCCGCTGATATATCTAAAGTGATATTTTCCTTTTCCAAACCTTACTTGCAATGTGATGAAATTTTTCGTTTAAAGTTTAATTTAAGATTGGAGAGCGTTTTGTTGTTGTTTCAAAAGAAGGAACCTATTTTCTTCGTCCCGAAGTCGTACCTGAGGACGCTGAAATGTGAACATCTCACGCAGTAAACAATAACCAAAATGATATAAACAGTTTATGTTCTTTTGCAGTAAGCAGTTCGTAAACATTTTTCCCCGCTAGTTGCAAAGATATTTGACAGACAAGAAAGAAAACAGCCTTCATTTGGCGCGAAAGTATGCTCGTACATTATCTCTTCCTCGAAGTCCTCGGCACTCCTTGAACTTCGCTCTTAGAACTGTTTGCTTCTCGGAACCTATAATTTCCACCACCGGTGGTGGACGATTTTTTTTTGGGGGGGGACCTATGGTTTCCAGGTAGAACCGAGGGGGATTCGTCGCCAACAGAGTATAAAAGGAAGACTATAGAAAACAACTTCCAATTAACTGTTGTTGAGGAGGGATCCCTATAGGAAGATCAGATAAATTTAATCGCGTCACAATCAAAATCCTCCAACCATGTGGATACTAATTTACCTTCTTGGGTCGATGATATCTCTCACTTATTCGCTTTGCTCCCTCGCGTGAAGGATACTAATGACATTCGTATCCACGCCCGACCATCCTCTTTTTATACACGAGTATTAAAGATTTAAGATACCTCATTTAAGATACCTCATTTAAGATACCTCACAAAAACTCAACAATTCTTGCTCCGACCTTACGAAATTATTTACTATATTACTCAAGAAAACCCGGCAATTTTTTTTTGTGTTCTTACTTCACATTTAGAATGCTCCAGTGAACTTTGTACATGTAGTAATATGGGATTAATATATCTGCATATTTCATATCGCGATTGATAACTTTCAACAGGTTTCTCATGTGCGCCTGCAATTAAATCTTATATTTTACAGTCACTGTGACACTTCGGTGCCCTGTTATCAAACCAGGACAACTAGGCTTTTGTATTCATGAATGCAACACCGACATGGATTGTCCATATGGCAAGAAATGCTGTTTCAAGGGATGTGGAAACAGTTTTTCTAATCAAAGTCAGTTTGATATTTTTTCAAACGTTTCGATATTCTTAAATTCAGCTTTATGGGGGGTGAGGGCTTTTGCTACCCGGAGCCTTAGAGTGATTTACCCCTTTTAAGGGGTTTTAGAGAGGAAGGGGGGAGTGGTTGAATTCTTGTTGTGTGGTTGTCTCATACATCCCTAAACACTGTTCATACTTTACTCTAATGTTGCTTTTCCATTCTGCCAACGCTGAATGTCTCAAACAAAGAACGACCCTACTTACCAGGATGAACTGAAAACTCTGACACAGGTTTTATCCCTCTGTGGACATAAAAGAATGGAGTTAACAAATGTCAACACATTTGCTTCCTAGGCTGGGACTGGGAAAAATGTTTGTAGCTTTGCCACCAGTGCCACCACTGCACTTTCCTGATTTTCCTTCCCTGAAGTTGATTGTGGATTCATGTTACCTATACATTGTGAAGGTAGCCTTTTAACGATGTTTGTTTTAATTTGTCTACAGTATCGAGACACTCAATTTGGTTTTCTCGGACTGAACATACCGCAGCTCATCATTAGTTCAAGTTGAACTGAAGCACGAGCTGAACGGAGTGACTTGAATTGAAACCAATAACACACTTTTGAAGTCTAAGGTTATTGAGTTTTGTTGAATCATTCAAGTCTCATTTGAACTCTGGTTCCTTTATCCTACCCTACACCGAATCTTAGTGCACCGCTATGATCTTAACCTTTATAATTAGCGTATGTCGCACCAAGTCACGCTGCCTTCAAGTTAGATGACCTCGCACCCAAGTGTAGCCCTGTCGCCCTCATCAACCCCAAACATTATTGCACTCGAAAACTAATTTTGCGTTTATCAACACAATTAAAACACTCGCGTCACCTGACGCACCAATCATCAACCTTTATTATCAATCCTTCCACGTTCATCTTAGCTTTAAATAAAAAAAATAGTTTATTACTGACCTTGACGCATTAAAAATGCTTAGAAATGATCTCGTGAATGAGAATGAGAAAAAACTTGAGCTTTTTCCTTTGTCTCCGTCATCACGGTGGAAAAAAAAATGAAAATCAGGCTTTAAAGGTGAGCCCAAAATAAAGAATGGACCATGTGTAAAAGTTTGATCTTGTTTCATCAAAAAGTATGTTTCAATAAACAACAAGTTTTTAGGATAATCCGTTAAACATTGCTATTAAATGTGTGGCGCTTTTGTCT